TATAAGACGCACCCAATTTTAAAGGAGGCAAATTCAGAAAAAAAAAGATTATGAACCAAATTCTGTAGTAAAATATTTTATATCAACTGTATAAAGTTAACAGCAGTTAAGAAAAATTTTATGTCAACCATGTAACATACTAAGAGCTATCTTTACTATCATAAACAGTCTCTTCTGCTTTGACATCTTGATGGGGTGGTATGAAATATGATATATTTCATTCAGATATACCATACTACATATATCACTGCTATTAGCTGAGCGCAGAGACGAGTGCCTTCACCCGCTCCCGTGCTGGCTTACGAGACTCTAAAAAGTGCACAAAGCCAGCGCGGGAGAGAGCGAAGGCACGTGCCTCTTCGCCCAGCCAATCGCAGCGCAAGGCAAAGACCGCACAAAGCCAGTGCGAGGCAGAGCGGAGCTTCCTGGTATCAGACGGCGCCAAGAGGTGGAAGGGAACGGAGTGGCCGAGTATTCCTGCGGTTATGTATGTATGCAGAAGTGGAGGGGCAGCGGAGGGCCATGGTGGGCTTTTGTATTTGCCGTATAAGACGCAGGCACTTTTTTCCCCCCGATTTTGGAGAGAAAAAGTGCGTCTTATACGGCGAAAAATACGGTAACTAATGTCCATAAAACTTACTTTTCCTCCGGCAATAGTATTAAAATCATTATGGGATAAATGCAACCGTTGATCTTCTCCTCTCGATTTTTCTACTAAGAGAGCTATCAGCGTGATCATTTTTTCTAACGAAGCGGGTTTATATTTGTCATCGACCGATGACACGACTTCGTCTTCATCATCATCCTCCTCGTCAGAAACTACTTCGACCTAAAGGAAAATGTTTTAAATTAATTCCAATGCATATCATAAAAACACTTTAACCAACACATTAATTAAGTCATTTGGTAATTTTTGCATGCCACAAAACCCTTAATTACCAGTAATAAATTAACAAAAACTAATTCCAGATTACAATTAGTTATAGAAAACCTGATGCAGACCTTGATGAAGGCCAAAAATGCTCGTTTTGTTAATTTATTACTGGTAATTGCAGGTTTTCTGGCATGTGATTACCTCCAGTAATTCAGAAAGGAGATAGTTTTGGTAATTTTTGGTTTAACCATAGGTAGAAATTGCCAAATTTAAAAAGAAGCCTCACAAAACCCTATCTAGTCAAACCAGATATTTTTCTGGAATCTAACACCATTCAAACTTTGACAAAAATTTGTTTCTCTGACACAAGAAAACATAGAATGGTCAGTAGCCCAGCTGAAATATGTCTGCAAAAAGGTAAAAAAATCAGCTACTTTTAATATTAAAAGCCACCTTGCTACTGAACTTCCCAAGATATTTATAAAAATAGAGCAAGAAATGATGAAACTTTAGAATCTTATAAACATATCAAGAAATAGTGTTTAGACAATAAGATAATATTTGCTAGCAAATAAGTAAATATGGGTCTCAAGTGTGAGACCATGCAGGAAAGCTTCACACAGCATACCCCATATTTCTATGGTGTCTGGCTGCTTTTCCTGTATTTCAATATAAAAGAACACCTTGTAAAACTGGAAGATCAAAATTAATACTACAACACCAAAAATCCGACAAAACATACTTTAAAAGACAAACTAACATCTCTTAAAGTATGTTTTTCTGGATTTTTAGTATTGATATAGTAATTTTAAGTATTTTAATCAGACAATAATAATTTTGTAGTAATTTTGGGACACTCCATGGCTTTCAACAACCTATACTTTTGTGTTCTTGCATTTAGCAAATACATAGCAGAAGTGAGATATAGCCCAGTACAACATATTTGTCTAAACCCTATATTTATTTTGTTTTAATATATTGAGTAATTTGTATACATCAAAGTCTAACTATATGCATCTAATTTATTCCTGTAAAAAAAAAAATTCATAAGGCTAATTTTCATATAACTATCTTACTTTGCCATCTAATGCTTGCCAAGAAAACTTGTTTATTAAACGAATGCTTTCAACCTATTATTACACGCCATCTTCGGGTTTTTAAATTCAATAAGAAATCATTATAGAAATGGAATATTCAGATATTCAAATTTACACTTAGTTTCAACCTAGTATTATATTACCTATGGAAATCTGTTTGTTTAATAAACAATTTTTCTTGTAAAGCATTGAGTGTAAAGTAATATTGTTGTACCTCTTGGCTAATTTTGTTTTGTTAGTTAGTTATGGCAATGCAACACTTGGGCGATCTGCCTTCCAGAAGGTCTTTTTAAGGGCCAGTTACCATTAAAAAGTAAGTCACTTTTTGACATTTTAATTCAAAAGTAAGTCATCATCTCAGTTTTTAATTAAAACTAGGCTGTGGAAAAAACTTGGAAAATTCCACATGGCCAGCCCATCTGGCCAGGCACAAACCAACAACCAAACTACCAGTGTTCGGGGAACTGAACTGCTTGGCCACCAATGGGCCATCTCTATGCTAAGTACACTGTTTGTATGTTCAGATGAAATAAAGAACATATTTTTTTACTTTAGCCTAACCATTTTTATTACTTTTTACAGAAAAAATTCCAATGTTCCCAGCCTAGAAACACCATCTAAAAAAAATTTTTTTTTTTCACAATTATTATATACTTTATAACTGTATGTTTAAATAAATTTTTCATTAAACAAATATCTTTATTTCATTCCCATAATCAATATGATTCAGAACTTCCAACTTTACCTTGATATGTTCTTTAAAAACGCAATGTAGAAACTATTGGAAAAAATTTGAATAATGTATAAACTTAATGCAATTACCACAGCACAGAAATACAAATATACAATTTCCTTTTGCTAGTCTTTTCCTACTTGCTTTTTGTCTTAATCCTAATGCATAGCAAGCAGCTTAACACATTAAGTGCCACGATAGAATGGTATAAAATATCACACTGGGCTCAAAATATCCATGCAAAATATAGTAGTACAGATTTCAATGTATGACATTCAACACAGTATGATTGTATGACGATTGTATGACGTATGCTGCATTTCTGCAACACACAGACTGGGTAAATTGTTGGACATGTTGCATATTTGCAACACATTGCACTTAATGTGTTGACTACTTGTGCACAGCAGTGTAATAGTTCACAAGTCTAGGACTCTGCTCTGTTCATTTTCTATACTAATCAATTAAAAATTTCACTTTTGAATTGAAACGTCAAAACAACACAAAAAATTCACAGCAACTACATAATTTTGTCATCCTCATATCTCAGAACAACAAAGTAATGTAATGGCATCAGGCTTTATTTCAAGGATATATTGTACTTTGGCACTGTAATTTTTTGTTTTACATGAGTCAACCTTTTTATTGAGAATTCTCATCTGCGTTGATAAAGTATTAAAACCTGTTTTAATACTGTTTATTAATTGTAATACAGCTTTTATTTTTGACATTTTAATTCAAAAGTAAGTCATTATCCCAGATTTTAATTTTTATTAAAAAGAGTTTCATATTTTCGAATCAGATATTGACTTAGCAAATTTTAAGATATGAATTCTTTTATCTTCAAATAAATAAAGATTTATCCAACAAATGTTCATGTAGTAAAATATATACATACAGTAGAGAGTCGTTTATCTGAAAGCCGGTTATCTGAAACGTCATTTAATCAAAAGCATTCCAGTCGGCAAATTTAAATTTTCGCTAGTGCTGTGGTACTACAATCTTTAGCTATATCTTGGGCTACTCCAATATTTTTTTTGTTTGTGTGTGTGTTTTAGCTGGCAGCACTGGCACATTTGGGTGGTGTTTTTCTGAGGACTGTGTGTTCTGCTGAATCAAACGTTTTTGATACTAGATCAATTTCTAAAGTATAATTTTTTTTGCTTTTATATTTTTCAATATATTTATTTTGTTTGTAAAAACTAAAGAAATAATTTTTAACGATACAATAGCCATGATTATTATTTTAAAAAGTTTATATTAGGCTTAACATCGATGAAAATTCAACGGGAAGTGACACGCAACGGAGAAAAATTTCAACATGGGATAGGTTAATATATTTTTCGTACGTAATCAATTATCCGAACAACCTCAGTCCCCAATTGATTAAGATAAACAATGCTCTACTGTACATATATATCAAGTGAATTATGCATATTTTATGATCAATATACAATATTCGAAATACTTAAATTATTACTAAAATTCTATTTTTTTTAATGAAAACATCTGCATTTTATTTATACTACAAACTTTAATCTGAAATTATTTAATTAGTTATAAAAAATGCAACAAATGCATGATGCAATCTATAAAAAGGTATCTTATACCAGAAAATTTTCTTCCTTTGAATGCATCCAATTCTACAGACTAAGAAAAGTATATATGGGACATTTATAGCTTAAAATGTCAACACATGTTACTAGAAACGTTTGGCATCAAAATCTAAAAATTAACAATCTCGACCAACTTTAGATTGCAATTTTTCCTCTGTGCAAAATTTACTTTTCCGACTTAAGGTGTTTTATGTAACTCCTAAAAGTTTGAACAAACACACAAGACACTTTTACATACTACTTTCGTATATTTGTTTTCAGCCACTTTAACGACTCTTTACAAAGAGGGCCACTAGAGAGGTCAAAAATGTTTGTTTTCTTTCATTTATCTAACATTTATTAAACATCAGTGCCGGAATTAATATGTAAAAGTATCTGGAGTGTTTTAGATGCCTTACATATACATTGCATCACTTATACAGAAATTAGTACACTTACATAATCCGATGATTTCTGACCAAGATAGAAGTTAACAATAGTGGATATCGTCTCAATAGACAGTAAAAACTGACATTCTTCTTCACCCATTTTTGCAAATTCCAAAAGGAATGCAAAATATTCAGTTAGATGTTTCAAATGTTGTTTAGCTCCATGTTCTATCTGTTTGAAGTAAGTACATTTAAAATTATTAAATAATTAATTAAATTCCTAAAACATTTTTATAATTTTTAACATTCTGAACCACTACTTACTAGAGTTAAAAGTTTCTTTATAAATCTTGTCACACAGGAATATTGTCCTACTTGGGAAATATCTACATCAGAAGAATCATCACTAAAAATTATAAATGATATTAATTCAAAACTAGGAATTAAATTACAATATGTAAAATATACACACAATAAATAATAAATCTTTTACCTGTCAGAGTAAGGTTGTAGATACATGGAAGAATGTACGGGTTTCAGTTGATTTATGACATGTATGCATAATCTTTGAAATAACTATTTAAGAGAAACTTTTATAACAAACAATAAAATGAAATTTGTAGATCAAATAAAATAATCTTTTCACCTGTCTGACTACTTGATTTGGACATTTAATAAGAATCTGTACGGGCCACCAGTTATTTTCGGCCATGTGATCTAAAAACCACTGAAAAAGATAGCACTTTGCATGTATATTGAGAGAGAAAAAACAAGAGAAAGAGAGAGAGAGAGAAAAAATGAGGAGAAAAACAAAGCAAAATCTTACTTCGCATGCTTGTTGACTTGCATTAAACTGTTTTGTTAATAATTCAATCCATTGAGCAATGGTCGGCTAAAATACATAATTAAAAATACCCAATTAAATTCATTTAAATATATTGGAGCTATGCCAATTGTTAAAAATAGAAAACAATGACTTGGTAACCACCCAATCATAACAAGAAATAATAAAAATTATGTATATTTAAGTTCAAACATTTTTTATTTTGAAAAATATGTTTGGACCATCCCGCTTCATCATCACTTGGTTTTAGAGCAACAGAATAACTGCTTCCCTTTCATAAGAATTTACTATTCTATTCTGTTGTTCTAAAGTGGAATTCTAAATGAATTGGCTAATTATTACGGGCTATTATAAGCTGATAAGTAATTACATACATATTCATTTTAACTGGGGTAGTTGGTTAGGTCGCCTGATGGAGTAAATTTAATAATTGGCAATGCAACTGAACAGAAGAAGGATTGTGGGTTCGAGTTCCACTATGGGTCAATTCTCTACTTTTAGAATATTCTAAATTAAAAATTAAAATTATTCTAGAAGAAAAGAATTGGCCCAGACAGAGAAGGATGAAAACCCACAACTCCCTCTTGCCTTGCTGTTGCATTGCCAATTATTAAATCTGTCACAAGACAGTCTACTTCTAGCCAAACAACTTGTATCGAAATATTTATTAGCCCTGTAGTAGCCCAATAATAATTTGGTGGTATGTTTGGAAACTAACATACTACTTTGGGTTAATTGTTGTTTATATATCTAAAGTGGAATGATATGAAAACATTTCAAAAAACCGAAGTAAGAACTTTTATACTTGAGCAAGTAAATGTACTAAATTTATTTTTTTCTTTATGATCTTCGTATTCAATTACCTTCTTATTGGCCAAACTAATATATAAACTTTGGGTTGTATAATAAACCAAGTATATCAGCCAAAGATGTTCATTTGTATTACCATATGATCACCATAATTAATCAGGCTATTATTTTGCTATTATTAATAATTAGTTATTAAATAATTTAGTATTAGAGATAGATATTAGGTGCCATCTCTTATCTAAATTAATAATTATAATAATTTAATTAATAATTTAATAAATAATTTAGAACAGTCTGGAAGAAAAGAACTAGCACAAAGTGGGATTTGAACCCACAACCTCCACTTACCATGCAGTGTGCTGCCAGTTAGGCCACTTGGACCTCTGAGCAATTCTTCACTTCCAGACATACAGGGTGTATCTAAATTGGTGTCCATAAATGTAAGGATGTGTTCTTGACACCAAAACATTACAAAAAGTTCATATGAACATGGATCCTATAAACATGGGTCCAATGATCCTTTATTACGGAGTTATACGGTTTATTGCTAATGGTACATGCGAGGCATTTAACAACAGATTTACAAAAACTGCTTAAAGTGATCTGCTGCTTCAATGCATCCCAAGCCTGTGTTCCATGCTTTGTCGTACTTTGTTAATTAAAAATTCCTAGAGTGTTTCGAATTTGGTCAAAGCTATTTTGGATATGCTCCCTCAGAATATCGACATAAGGTACATCGTCTGATAATGTTATGGAAGTTACTCTGAATAATACTAAACAGGGGGGAAAAAAGACAATCAGACAAAGCAAAACAAATGCCATGACCAACTGTAAAGAAGAAAGTGCATAAAAATGCAAGTTTGAAGTGATTTACACGGGTCACTACAAGGAATTCCTTCCATAACTCCCTAACAAATGATTTTCGGACCCATGTACATATGAACTTTTTGTAATGTTTTGATGTCAGGAGCACATCCCTACATTTATGGACACCAATTTAGATACACCATGTATTTAAACCTAGATATAACCATTCACGGTTACTCATGGCACCAACTGGAAACAGCAGTGCACCACATGGTAATCAGAGGTTGCAGGTTCAAATACCATTCCAGGCTAGTTCTTTTCTTCCAGCCTGTTCTAAATTATTTAATAAATTATTAAATTATCATTATTGTGCGAAAAAGGACAGATTATAAAGATGTACTTTTAATTTTTTTGAGTACATCTTTTATTACACAGAATTTTTAATTTTAGAATCTGTATTTGGATTTCTTTTTTACGATATTAAATTTATTTTAACAAAGTTGAGAAAATGACTATAAAGACTNATGCATTGATTAGTATCAATGCATCGGGCTTCAGGATGTTTATTATATTTATTAAAAAAATCATTACCAGATAAAAAGTGTAATTTAATTCAATATTTAATCATATACCAAAGATATAGAAAGTTTATTTCTAGATCTTTGACATGTCACTTCTAGATCTAGTCTACTTAAAGATCAGTATTTTTTTAATTTAAAATCATAATTTTTCTTCAAATATATATCACACTATCTTACAAATCTATTTGTACAATATATGACTTAAATTAATTTTAAATCTGTTTTTCATTTTTTTAATTCCTCACACCAAAACCAATTACATTAAAAAGCTTTAAAAACAAATTTTTAAAAATCTTTTTAAGTACTTACAAATATTACATCATTTAATTTACAATAAGAAATGTATACTACCGTAAGCACTCAAATATACCCAATGTGGATCCATTTTTAAAATTTGTTTGAGGTGTGGGTTTAGTTGAGCCAGTGGGACTATTCTAAACCATGGGCTTGATTTTTCAAAATTTGCTTTCTTAAATACCAAATTTAACATTCCTCTCACTTTCCAGCATGAATTTTAGTATTTAAAAGACAATTCCAGTTTTAGAATTAACAAGTTAGTTTTCTTATGTATCAGCACAAGTGGCCCTAGGCGTCATTAAACAAAAATCAAAGAACATTTTTAAAAACTTAACACTGATATTGAGAAATATAGTACAGTAATTTAAACAATTATAATTTTCAATAGGTTGTTTACAGTAATCTTTAGCTTAGAAAATGTGATTTGAGCAAACCCACATGCATGTTCATTCGAATACCACGGGGTTTCTTTTAAATGCAACCAGGATGTGTCTAATTGAGTGCGTGCGGTAATTTTAATCATCAAAAATTATCTCATTAACAAAATAAGTACCTTTTCTTTTGCATGAATAAGTGTTTCCAAAACAAAAGACGTTCCTAATTTTGCTGACAGTAATGTTACTTCTTGGTATCCTGACAACGTCTGTGGTATGTAACCACAAATTTGCCACATAAAACTATCAAAAAAAAAAGTTTTAAAATTTATAATTATTTTTATATTGTGATCTTTATGACTGATTAAATGTAAATTTGAATTATATCAAAAACAAGATTTAATTTGTTTAGGCTTCTTGTAAAAAAACCTTTACAGTTTATTAGGGAAAAAATTTTCATTTTCTTATAAAATAATATATAAAAATATGGATATAATTTGATTTCTGGCATTAATAAATGAACATTTTAAATATAATAAATGATTATAATAATTGATTAATAATATTATATACAATACACAAGTAATTCTGTATATAACAAACATTTGTTTATTATTAATAATAATTCATCCAGTGTTGTTTGCCTGGAACTGTTTTCAGTACTGTCATTAAAAGCAACTAGTATACAGAAAAGCCAACTGTTCTGGCAGTTAAGGTAAATTTTCAATTCTGGAAATGAATCTGGACAGGTAAAAAAACACTGGAAAATTTTTCGTGTGTGGTCTGAGAGAATACGTCGGGACATCTAGCCACTCTATCATGGGTCCACCCAACCCATAATAGGCTTGCTAAAAAAGGTACTCTTCATGCTAACAAAGTAAACACAGTTAAAAAAATAGATGAGAAAAACTAATGTATAATTAAAACAAGTAAAACGGCAAAACCATATTTGGGACAAAACTATGTCTCAGAGACGGAATCACTTTGATGTCTAAGGCAGGTCTCCTTCTCATTCTCCTTTGATATCGCTGCTTTTGGGTGCAATCGTTCAAACTTCGCCGGCCACAACCACAAGATCGTCCACGATGCATCTTCAATGAAATTAACCTATCTAATTTCAAAATTTCTTTCCGTTGCGTGTCAGTCCGGGTTAAAGTTTTGTCGATGCATAATGAAAAGTTCCCGTTTTTGAAAAAAATAATCGTGGCTATTGTATCATCTGAAATTATTTTTTTATTTTGCACAAACAATATACAGTTTAACCTGATTATAATGTCATCGAATGTAATGACAATCCTAATATAACGTCAAATTTTTATCAATCCTACGATTTTACTATACTAGATAATGTTTAAAAAAACCCACGTTAAAATGGTTTTATGTCATTACAAGTCATATTTGAAGCATTCCCAAATTTACAAAATTAAATTACAAATTTTATTTAACATAGAAGAAATTACGTGTTCAGTCCTAAGGTCAGAGTTCACTTCTTAGAATGACTGTGGGTGGTACTCTGCCTGACCTGACTTCGGTGGGGTAAGGTGGCTGTTTTGCCTGTTTGTAGAAGAGGGTCACCATTTTGTATTTTATTTTGACTCAATTCTCGGTTCCCTGACTACCTATGAGTCTGGATTTTTTTATGCTCAAATGATTTGGGCACCTAATACTCTGTGCCAAATATCAACTCTCGACATGTACTCCTTCATACCTCTATCCTGGTAATAACATCAGGCAGTACAATTTTATAAACAAGACATAGTCTTGTCAATAAAAATATGTCAGGAATTTGAACTAATGTACTGATGCAAATAATGTCCACAGCATTGATTAAGACCAATAATATGAACTCACTGTCAATTAACATTATCTTTCAAATGTCAAAACCGATAGCACAAAGCACAGCTTAAAAATGTCTATTTAATCAAAGATAATGACAAAAATTCAAGATTCTAATGAGCAATTATTTATTTCAACATCCTCACAATGCCAGGCTGAAACTTTTAATCATATTTTTCGAAATTTTTTAATTTAAAATATATGCTCTCCATCTCAAATCAGTAGTGTCTTGTCCCTGTACATCATACTTTTCCTGTCAGAACTGAGTCATACCATCAGTTTCAACCATTAGCCTTTGGGCAATAAATAAATGTATATTAACTTAAATGTTTTGGAACTTACTAATTTTGACAAAATTAAAAAACAAATCATCATCAATACAATAAACAGATTCTACTGTATTACCAGAACTAAAATTTAATACAAACATTTGATTTTAATTAATATATTAATTAATATATAATTTCATAAGAAAGCTATGATTTGTTCTGTAAGCCTATAAAAATGCTTTCGTATTAAAAATATTAAAGCTAATTTGATTCTGACATCTAATATTTGCTGTCTTAAGTCAAGTTTTAACTAACTATAATTTAATTAATTGTGATTAATTAATACCAGTCAAAAATAATTATGAAAAACTGGCAAAAACATTTAATGAGTCACTTACTTGAAATAAGTATGTTCAAATACACTTTTATCTTGAAGAAAGTGCATGTTGTCTTGCCAGATCCACTAAAAATATTCATATAGAAATTATTTCAACTTAAAATAATGCAAACATTCATAAAGATGTATTACAATAATAACTTTTTCAGATATTTTATTTTAAAATTAATTTCTCTAATTACATTTCACATTTTAACAGTAATAAAGAAAATAAAGACATTGGATAACAACAAATATATTTAATTTGTGCTCTTCCATGAAGGTTTGTGTGGACAATGTGATTCTAATGCAGAACTGCTGTTTGCATTCATAAAAAACCAGAAAATGGAAACTTCCTAAACTTCACATGCAGAAGATACAACTGCCTATCAAATGAAACATTTTTTTTTATCACATTACTTCATTTGTTTTTTCTTCAAATAATAACTAATACACACTAAAATAAACTCAGAAAAACAAAACATAATTTTTATGTCTGTAATAATCAATAACACAAATTTAAGAGGTGATGGCACCATTCATATCCGTAGAGAACTCTAAGCTTAGTTTGGACAGATGTTTGCTAATTAAATCAAAAGTGGAATGTGAAAAACAGTTTACTTTTGCAAAGAAAATTTCATTTTCATTACCATTTTGTAAAAACAAGAATAATGAAATGAGAGATCATGTGCAAACCATAGCAAAAATTAAAACAAGAGGTCAACTAATAATGGCATTTTTTCATTCATTTATTTATCAAAAATTCCAAAACTAATCATAATAATTATAAGAATATAATCAGAAGGTATATTCATAGCTGTTGTGTTCCTATACATGTATTTCTTTTCAAGTTTTCTCCTTGTGTGTTGCCCATTCACATTAACAGCTTTAACTACTTATAAAGGACACAGATCTACAAGATACATAGCATTTTACTAAAAGCATCTTGATAACTCACAGGAGAAATCAAACTCTTCAATATCTTCAATTCCTTTTATAAATATATGAAAGATAAGTCACTCTCTACAGTTTACAGCATGCTTAGTCATTTGAATTCATTTCATGCTTCAATGTATAATAGAATTACAACTTTGGACAAAAAAAATATTGACTTTGAATATTTTAATACTTTGGATAAGCAACATAAACAAGATATTTAAAAATTTAAAAATTATTTATTTATAACTAAAACATTTACTTGAGAGAAAAAAACCTTCAATTTTCTCCTTACCTCTGCTAATTCATGTGACAGTTCAAAGGTTACACTTTCTATCTGCGTTTCGGTGTTAGTCTGTAATATAGCCGTATGACTGGGAATATTGTTTATATCTTTTGGATTCATTCTTTCATAAAACAGCATATAGGCACTGTTTGTCTAAATACAATAAAATTCCAGTTTAAAATATATACAAACAATTTTAAATACAAATAAATATAAAATAATGACCAACCTTCTCAAATGAAAAGTCCATAAATTTATCAGTAACTGAATCATAAGTTTTACTCTGGAAAATATTAATTTTATGTAATTTCAATTAAATTGCCATCATCAGAAAAATAACAAAAAGATACATTAAAATTCTTTTATTATAAACAAACATAAATCTAAAACATCTCTCTGTACAGAAATTTAACACTTAGAATGCATATACTGTATAATAAATTCATTGAGAAATATCAAATGTTTAAATAAATCACATGACATACTTAATTTTTTCAACTTCCACACAAAGTATAATATATGCTATAGGAAAAAATTGCAACATTTGAACAATTAATTGGATTTAATGAAACTGAGGTGAATGTGAACATACATAAAGTTGTAAATGAGAGAATAATCATTGGTACAAAGTTGAAAAACTACAGTTTCTGATGAATGCTAGGAAATACAGTACTTGTTTACCTCTTTGTGCAGCAATTTGTGCCTGAATAAGGCAGTCAAGCCATCACACCCTAAAATAATGCCAAAAATCAGAGAGTACACCTATATGTTGCAGTTTCAACTGCCGATTGTAACACATTTAACAAACAAAAGATGGGACAAACAGATTGGTCACAGAAATATAGTTGCGCTCATCTCAGTGACACCAAATGCAAACGTGGACAGTACAAGAGCACACTTTATTTTACTAGATGTGTGTTCCACATTCTTGAAGAAATGAAACCACTACTGGCCATAAAATCTCAGTTAAAGATTACTAAGTATTTAGGGAACCAGTGCAGATCAAGATGAATGACTAATCACACACCAAATCACCATAATACATTTGACTTGTGTTCAAGCTCCAGGAACAATGCATTCCTTTCACCTTAAAATTCTCAAACCCATTGTCTTTCATCATTCCATTCAAGATAGAATAGAGATTCACATAATCAGCAGTGGCTTGTAGACCCAAAAAGTGGCACGGCCAAGTTAAACAGCAAATCAGAATTTAAACATATAATATAAGCCATTGATCATGCTGTTTGTATATCTGTAATCTGTAACAGCATGCCAAGAACGGCCACTAGGAGCGTCCTTAGCTATTATTTAAATTAACAATAAATTCAGTATATTATTATTTTTATTTGTAATAGGAATTTATTATTAAACAAATATTATAACAAATAATGAATATGTATATAATGATATAATGAATAACCAAAAATGAGTAAGATTAAGACAGTTCTCGATAAACAAATAAAAAAACCCATCAGCTGCCATGTTGCAACAAGTATTTATATCTATCTATCTATATATATATTTTTTTTATTTGTAATAGGATTTTATTATTGATATGAATTTATTATTTATACCTTGGAATGACACTGCTGCCACTAGAATGCTCACTATGAGGCATCCTGGGCTTAACTAGTAAAAAATAAAAGAAACCAATTGCCTATTTTTGATTTATTTATTTATTTGTATGTTTTTATGGATTTATAATATTAAATTGGCAAAGTTAAAAAGAATATGACGACGACAAATTCAAAATACTTAATTACAGTAAGAACCGGTATTGATAATATAGTAAAAATAAAAATAACTAAAACTAAAAAATTTTCAAGGAGCCATTTAAAACTTAAATAAATACAATAAATAGAAATTCTGCAATGAAATGAGTAAAACCACTACATTAATAATTTAATACATATTTATAAATTTCAAAATAAAACACTTAAATAATCACAAATCACTGAATCAGTAAAAAATATAGTGAAAAATACTGCACAAACTCTCATACATCCACTCCCACACATACAGTTAGCAGTCAAATGTAAATTGGGAAAACTGCCCGACTAAGCCAGTCCTCATGCAACACAACTTCCATGTGCTCCACCAGCATGCTGACTAGTGGCAACGGCATGTGTTCCTATCAATACATCTAATATTTCCCCTGTGCTATTTATCTGAGGACTAACTCTACAAGTATGGTAGAATGCAATAATAAACATATTTTTCCAGATTTCTTATTTTTTCTTCCAGATAATTTCTTTATTCTTACAATAATTACAATTATTTGTTAATAAATACACTTATTGTTGAATAATTTGATTTAATAAAATTATTGATTGAAACTGGACCTCTCTAGCCCTTAGTGACCAGCCATTTATGCACACAACGAACATCACAGCATTACTTTTGTTTTCGTTACAGTTCACTCTGTCATGACAGTATCAAAGACATTCTATTATGTGACTTGATATTAGATATTCTTGCAATAAAAATTATAGGCGCTCATTGTTTACTGTCCAAATAGCAAGTCTGCGAAAATACAGCATAATCAGCATGGCATTTGCATCTTTGTTATTTATACACAATAAAATGATAATTAAGATTTTCTTCTTAAACATTTCTACAATTTTCTCTCTATTATTCTATAAGAGTTTTGTTTTTTGGTACTCACAAATTTATGCTAAGTTTTACTCACCGTCATTTCGCCGCCAAAACATTCTGCTGCAATGTGAGCGGGGTCAAATGGTTTAACTTCTGCATCATTGAAAAGAAACCTATTTTTTATAAATGAATTTTTCTTAAATCAAAAACTTATTTCAAGTATTAAAAATGTTTCATTTTATAACAGAAAACAAAAGGTAAGCTAAAATCAATTCTTTATTCATCTTGTTTCTAGTTTAATTGTTGTCTTCAGACAATCACAAAATAATTTCTGAGTGTTTGGCTCTTAAATTTGATTACTTTCATGTTAAATACTTTTAACATTGCTGTCTAAGCTTTTACAGTTACTTTAAGAAATTAAAACACAACCCATAAACAGGTTACACTGAAAATACTAATGGGATTCAATGTTCTAAGCATTTTACCTTTTGTTTTCTATTTAAAACCTAGTCTTACCATTTATCTTTTCCTGGATTTTGTCTCTCGCGAATGAAACTGTAATAGTGACCTCCATCCGCCGTACCCGTATGAACCGTCACTCCAATTAAATCATACTCGTAACAGTCGCCCTCCTCATCTTTCTTTTCTTCATTAAAAACATCTACAATGTAATATTAAATGTTACATAATGGTTACTTTGTTTTTATAAACATTCATATCCTTTTTACAAACATTTAATTTGTGCCCTCTCTTATATTTACAAATACCTAACTCCATTTTTACAAAAAAGTCTAGAGTAAAAATTTTGATAAAATGTTTTGGATGCTTCATGCTCAATCACTGACTTCAGATCCCTAAATCAATCCATATCATATCTCTTTCTAAAACAGCCTTAATTAGAGTGGTCATCATTCTTTCCCATTCCTACAGTTCTTCAAATGTTCTCTAAGTCTCTGATATTGTGAGTTATAATGGTATCGTATAAATTCCAGCCTTCTCTTTTGTCTCTCTCCAATCTTTCTCATTTCAAACTCTATCAAAAAGTGTGGAATTTCTCTTCAAACCTATTTTTTTATTTGCTACTTCCTTCAAAAATAATTAAACCCTTGGGAGAAATGAAACTCTCTTCCCTACAAGTTGGCATAGTGTAAGAAAATCACATTTGTTATCTCTGTTTTTGGTTTCCCTTCTCTTCCGGTACACTTTTTAACTCTTAAAACTATAATCTAAAACTCTGATTTCATTATTCTATGCTCTTCTGCAATTCTCTTATCAGTTCTAATTCTACATCTAATAACACTCACATTGAAGATAGAACTATTATTGTTCTCAGTAGGATTTCAAAAGTAGCAACCCTACATTTATAGTGATCTCACAAATCAAACAGTTAATTCATGGGATTGAAACAGCCCTTAATTTGGATCTCTATCTCCTTGAAAATGCATTGCTATTTTGTTTTATATCTCAACACAAATTTTTTTTTGTATTATCAAAATTCAAACACCTACAGAAAGATAATAGAACAAAACTGAACTATCTTAACTAATTTAATTAAGTACAACAGAATGTGCAATATTAAACTGAGTAATATCATCTTAAGATTTAACAATGACAATAAACTAGAAATCAATATCCTTTATTCGTACCTGCATGTTGATTCGGCATAAGATTTTTTTCCATATAATTTGACATGTCGAGCCGAAGTGGGAAAGAAAAATGAGTGTTGACCTTTTCCTTGGTCATAGTCACCATATTAAAAGTGTATCTCATCGTATTGAAGCATAAGATGCGAGGTAATTTTTTAATACATGCTCTGAAAATAAAATATTTTGTAAAAACTTTACATTGTTTTATTAGATTTTTAATAGAAATAAAAAAAAAAATTTAAATTACCTTTTTTCAGCTCTTACTTTCTTTCCACACTGTGAACAAGTGTACATGTTATCTCCTTCTAAAGTATCCTTTACTGTTAATTCGTCGAGCGACTCCTAAAAGTAAATTTTATTTTAGACTTTTTGCTATATACAGTAATCAAAAATCAACTTATTTAGTAGCTTAATACATAGTTAAAAACATTTATGAATTTTAAATATTATAAAGTTGTCACAGCAATTTCAATTTATTCTATATCAGTGTTTTTCAACCTGTGGGTCGTGACCCCCAGGGGGAGTCGCAAAGCCTTACACAGGGGGTCTCGGATAAAAGAAAAAGACAAGTGTTTGTAGGTCCTATACTACAATAAAAAAAAACTACAATCTCAGTGAGAAGACTGTGCCTGTTTATTTTACAGTACAATTGGCTTTTTAATCAATATTTAGGTCTCAACAGAAAGAAACTTAATTAAATACATAATTTTTAAAATCATTGTCATATTTTTAATATGGCCCTGGGAGGGTTGCCAGAATTTTTTAACTTGTAAAGGAGTCGCTTATTCAAGAAGGTTGAAAAACACTGTTCTATATGAATAAATCAAGTTTGCAGATTTACCCAACACTACTGTAGATACCAAGTTAAATTATTATCCAAAATACTAAGAAACAACAATAAATGTTGATTTGCTTCGTTTATACATTAAAAAATTTATCATTGTCATTATTACTTGTAAAATTTATCGTTATGCCAGATTGGAGTACAATTGAACTCTCTATTAAGAATAGCAGACTAGATATTTTTAAAATCAACTCTAAGCAATAGATATACAAAGATCAAATATTTGTAACAAATTAAATAATTTTATAATACTCATTCTAAACTATTCTCAGTCTCAGTGACTTCAAATGTTAATATCATTATTTTTCTCTGTCAATATAAATTTTATAAAGAAACATAATTTTAAAATATACATAAACACACAATGTAAGCAGACTAACTCTTCTCATTGCATCAGGCCATATCATACTAAAGTTGTGTATATAGTTTTTTAGCATTACAGTCGACCCCCCTATAACGTGTGTTCCTATAACGACAATTCCTATAACGTAGCGAAAAAATTGTAGCAACATTCGTATAAAGCACCTCCTAAAACGTCTTCGCCGACTCGATTCGCGACAAGATTGATAAAGTCTGGACCAATAGTGGATGAGCAGCCGAACTACTTTCCTCCGACCCATCGCCACGCTACGAAGCGGCTAAATTGAGTTTGCTATCGTCTGTTTAGTATTATATATAAATTATATATAAATTAGGTACTGTACATATAATTATATATTAATTATATATAAATTAGGTACTGTATATATAATTATATATTAACTTAATTTATTGTAACTTTATTATAATTATATATATGCTTTCTGCCGCCTGGCAACACGCTACGGAGATTTTAGGCTAGTAAGTTGAGTTTATTATCGTCTGTACAGTATGTAAATTAGGTACCGTAAGTCTAATACAGCACTAATTTTATACATTTCTTGTGAAAGAAACACTTCTTATTCAACGGCCATAAAAATTATTTATATTAATGATGTCTCCAAAGGTCAAGTTATTTTTCTGCCAAAAATTCGTTATCAGAAATTGCGGCCGTCGTTTCATGTGCTGTTCCGCGATGAAAACCAGCTTTAAGCAACGGCGTAGTCGAACGGTACACACTCGGTAAGTAATCCTATAATTTTTTGTTTATAGCATAGTTTATACAGATTATTCCCAAAAAATTATGTGTGTTTTGGAAATGTTGAGTGGAATTAGTCTAGAATCGGTTAATTTTATAGAAGAAAACCTTTCAAACAGCCTTAGTCCGTAAAGTTCACACCTATCGGGCTGCGATTGGCTCATGTATTTAATCATTCCTACAACGTAAATTTTGATTAATGTGGAACGTATCTAAGCGTTATAGGGGGGGGTCTACTGTATTTATTCAATAAATCCATTAAATTATACTAATTTTAATTTAACATGAGTGACTAGTGTGGTTGTAACTATAATAAATTAATAGCTCTGGAATCAAAAATCAGGAGAAGATCCAAATAGTATGACTGATAACACATCTGTACAGCGCATGGGAGTTGTGGGTTCAAGTCTGTGCTGAATATTCTGAATTTAAATTAAAAGTTAATCTGTTTATAATTAATAAATTTATTGTGTGATGGTAACATAACCAGCTAACTATTGCCAAACTGCTTTACATCTAATTATTAAATTAGCCTTAATACAGCCCTATAAATAATCTGGCAAATCATTTTCAAGATTAATTGAATCAGACTGTTGTATGTTATTTTAATTTGGTATCACTTCACAAATTACAAATAATTATTGTGTAATGCTCAAGTTGCTGCAAAAATCATGTTTCATTATGTAATATAAAACTTAATACATAGTAATTTGCAAATAATAATACTGTTAATATTTTGTCTGTTAAATTTAATATAATTTCCTTTTTCTAGTTTTGATCATTTTTAATCCATGTTATTTTGTATACAGACATACCTTATCATAATATAACTTAATTTGTTTATGTAAGCTACACATCTGCCATATCAGTTAGTAAATTATAAGTGATCAAATTATTTACTTACATACAAATTTCTCATATCTGCGACCTGGCAACGTAAAGTATAAAATTCTTCCAAAGTACAACTGATATGAGGACAATCCTATGAAAATTTTTCAAAATATTTTCAATTATAATCATCATTATATATATAAATGCAGTACAAGACCAAAAGAAATAGATCTACACTTACTAAAGAGACGACGTTATTTGACAAAACACCACAAAACAATTTCTTTACAAGTTCTTTCTACAATAAACAAATATTAAACTTTAATATTAATTACTTTCTGAAAAACAAAAATATCGTTTTTTACGTACCAACTGTTGAGTCATTTCTTCTAATTTGCTGATTAAATCTGTAAAAAATTCTGCCATATCTTTCTGTTCGCCGGTATTCAGTGGCTGGTGGTCCATCGTATAAACTTTACAGAAACTTCTAGGATTATATGCCTTCCGTTCACTTTCCTACAAAAATAATGTAAAACGAGCAATTATTTATTGTGACGTGGTCACAATGCAGGACTGTAATTTTAAACCATATTTTTAATTTATTTAATTTGAATATATGCTCTCCATCTCAAATTAGTAGTGGCTTGCCCCCATACATCATACTTTTCCTTTAACAATAGAGTCGTGCTGGCAATAGGGTCTAACACCTTTCAGGAAAAAATTTGGGGTCAAACTGGAAGTTATGTAATTTCAATTCAACTTCCAGTTTGCATTGGAAGGTCGTATATAGTTAATTGGGTCCTCCTGCCCCTATTCTTTCCATATATGGTCTCACCTTTCATCTATCTAAGTCTGTTCTTGAGATTAAGGAAAGACAGACAAATAAATGACAGTAGGAATTTATAGTTCTACAATTTTTTCAAACTGCAGCCCAATAATGTCTATTTATTTATTTTTACATTGAACTTTGCACTGTCTCATAAACAATATTTTCCACCCCATTACAACAATCCCAATTAATTAAAAGTATGTGGTAAAACTAAGACATGAAAACAATGCAATATAAAAAAAATTATTTAGAGTCTAGTATCTTTTTACAAACAGCTTTGAATTTACAGAAACCGAGGAACAATTTATCTTCGATTTTGGTAGCAGTTTTTTTGATAGTGGTAGAAAAAAAGATCTGATTGTTAGATTCAGATTGCAGTATGGCATATGGATACAAGTTAATAATCTGCTGTAAACATAAAAATGTGGATAAAAGTATAATCATTAGAAAGAAATGTTTAAAGTATTTGTAGGTGTAAATGAGATCACAGTAATCTGTACGCTGGAATAAGTTAGGCAAGCCGAGAAGGATGTGTATGGCATTGGGCCGTATTCTGGTCACTGTCTCTGGTCTCTCGTCTCTTGCAAGCTGGTCGCTGATTGGCTAATCCAAATGATTAGCCAATCAGCAACCAGCTTGCAAGAGACGAGAGACCAGAGACAGTGACCAGAATATGGCCCCAGGAGAGTTAGTAGCTGGCAGATGCGAGTTTGTTGAATGTAAAAAAATTTTGTTTATTTAATACAGATGTAGGAACCAAGGCCCATATAAGTAGTGTATAATCAATTAAAGATTGGAAATTAGCAAAAAAAAATAGCATGGTGTGTTTTTTCATTTGAAATGTTTATAAAATTTTGCCAAAGCATTCTGTGATGGATGGATATCTTTTCGATTAGATTTTCTACATCTAGGTTAAAAGAAAGTCTGTTATCAAAAATCAAAAATGACACAGAGATTTACTGCAAATATTGAAGAGGCTGATACAACTTGCCAAGAAGAACTGTTAGAAATCAGATATGATGAAGAAAGTAAACATAAATTCAATAGTGGTGGATATGAAAACCCATGGCAAAATAAAAAAAATGTCTATCTTATATCCAAATATGTGGAAAATGATACTCCCTACCTTATATCTTGTGTAATCAGGCTTTAGTGCTTTTAATCATATTAGGACCAAAGAAAGAAATTGCCTGAATATTTCTGAAAGAGGAGACCTTTGTTTACACCTTACAAAAATTGAGCATGATATCCAGTATTTAGTTTTGCATCATCAGCCTGAGGGATCTCATTAATAATTTAATTAATTAAATGTAATTTCATCAGACTGCATGCTTCTCTGTATGCAAAGTATAAATAAAAAGATAGATTTAACTACAGTAAGCTGTTTTATAAAGATTTATTTTGCCAAAGTTAGCAAAAGTCTGACAAAGTATTTGGTAAGTAATTATTATTATATGTTTTAACTTGCTGTAACTCTGCTTTATAAATTTTATCAAGTAAAGTTACTTCCCTACTTTATAAATCCCCATTACTGTACTGAACTAGTGGGCAGTTAGACAATTTTACTACTAACAGAGATACAAAAGTGGGCAGTAGGTATAAAAAAGGTTGACTACCCCTGCTATATAGTAACATTATGCTTGCCATTTTTATATACTTCCTAAACTAAAATATTCCAAACATTCTCCATTTAATGGCCAAATGGCTAGCCACTTGTTGTGTGTTCTTTTATTGAAAAACCGTTCTCAGATACTATTTGCCATACAATCTTGTTGCAAAATCCATGATAAACCATTAGTTTGATAGGGAAAGGGACAAGAAATAGCTCTCTAGAAGAATTTGATAAACCATGGCTTTAAATTTTCCTTATACAAAAACAAGATCTGTCTTACCATGATATCCATAGCCAGCCCAAACCATGACTGATCCTCCCCTTGGTGTCATTTCAAAATAACTCTGGTTTTTGAGAAAGTCGTGCCAGTAGTAGAACCATCTATCTCAGGGGTGGCCAACAATTTTTGCTACCAGGCCGAATGGGAAAGAAAACTTTTCCCACGGGCCAAACCTGAGGCTGCCCTAGGAAGATTTTGAGGTGGTGTGAGATCTCATTGTGGTGTCACCCCGTAGAGACTGAACTGTAGACAGAGATTACAGATACATTTTTCACATTATTGTGCTTTATCAACACTTTAAGCTGTACTTACGAGATTTGTAATGGAGGGTTAACTAAACGCAGAGTGAGTTGTTGACCCTTTTTTTTATTTATTTTTATTTATTATTTTTTTTATTTTTTAGGCATCAGAATTTTTCATCGAGCTATTCGAACTTCAGTACTTAATATTGAAAGATTGATCACGAGCCACATAAATTCATTAGACAGGCTGGATCTGGCCCGCAGGCCATATGTTGGCCATGCCTGATCTATCTGGACCATCTAAATTAATTTTTGTCATCAGTAAATATTCCTCTTTCATATTCTTTTTTTCCAGGTCACATGATATAGTCTCAGATGAAGCAATCAAAGTAATTCTAATGAAAGGTTTTTCTTGGCCTATCTGAAGCATCAATTTTCTGGAAGTCTCACAGTAAAAAAGCCACCTAAATGCTTACTTTTTATTGGAATATTTGGCATAACTTTTAATGGTAAGTAAAAACGTCATGACATAACTATGCATAATATCGAGACAGCAGTTCTAATTTTCATAAAATGGTCATATCATTTTGCAACAAGATTTTGAGGATAATAGTGTAGCTTTATGCATGCTTGCTTTAAAAAAGAAAAAACCCTATTTTTTATTAGTGATCACTTCATTTAATTAATGATTAAATATAGTAATTGAGAAAAGTCCTTATTTCAGCTTGACCTTTTTCTTTGCTGATTTATCTGAAAAATTTGTATGGTCATACCATTAAGAAATACACTTTGTAAACACATTCCAGAATGTATTCATTAATATTTATTGTGCACTCACAAACCAGATGGATTTTAAATGTTTTTTCCTTTATATTGTATATGCAACAATTTCCAAATTAATCATCTAGATCAGCGATTCCCAACCTGTGGTACGCGTACCCCTAGGGGTACGCAATAGGTTGTTTAGGGGTACAGAAAAAAGTTAGTTATTATGGGAGAAAAAATAATATATTATGTATCACAAACTAATAGTATTAAAAAATTAATAGATAAAAAATGTTCCTTGCAACAATCACAACTTTATCATACATTTTTTCTACAATATGTAAAATTAACAATACGGTTACTCACTAAATTTCTTAAATGAAGGGTACAATCTAGAGATATGACATGTCACGGGGTACAATCTAAAAATATGAAATGTCACGGGGTACACTAATGAGAAAAGGTTGGGAACCACTGATCTAGATAAATATATTGTATTTTCATGTATATAACTCATGGTAAAGGAATTATTCCTGGCAGGATGCAAAAAAAAGTTGCTCCTTGCACCTAGACAGCGAGTGACCATTTATTACATGTAAAATTTTCACTATTAGAAATAATAATCAAAACTTTTTGGATTTTTTTTTATCCTTTTACATGAACACAGAAAATAGCTAAACAAAAATAAAACCTTTACATAACCAGCTAGTTACACTGTTTACACTGCATCTATAGAGGCAGCCTTTGTTCCAGAGGCACGAGTTTGTAATTGCAATTCAAAACAGATATATACCTACCATAATCTGCATTTCCTTACAAATTAATTGACTTTCAAATAAATAACCTGTAGGTTGTATGTATGAAGTTATAGTAGTTTGTTATATCAAATATAATAAATTTATAAGTTAGAGTATAAAATAAAAGTTTTATTTTCGCATTCCTTTAATATATCAATTTTTTTATAACATATCTAAATAATACCCTCACAACAAACACGATTTTTAATGTAATAAATGTATCAAACTTACCAATAGATAGGCAAACATTCTTTGCAGTTCTCTTAGTGTATTTTCATGCTTGCTCTCTGTACTAATCTATAAAATACATTTAGTAAACACTAAATCAGTCACAAAATATACTTTCATTGGACATTTAAGAAAATATTTCCAACTATGAAAAAACTGTTTATGCAAAAAAATGGAAATTAGGAGAACATATATAGAGAATTTAGTCAAGTATGAATAGTTTCATTACAGGAATGATCAATTTTAAAAAAACAAAATAAAACAAACTACATATTTATTTAGCCTAGTTAGAAAATGTTTTTGTACTCTGTGAAATGTTGCTCAAGTAACATTTCAGATGACCGGATTATAAGCAGACACTTTCCCATTTCTTGGCCACCCCAGTCACCAGACCTCAATCCCTGTGACTTCTGGCTATGGAGTTACCTCAAAGCCACTGTTTATGGTGATAACAAACAATTTGGCGGAATTGAAAAACACGATACACCAACATGTCCGTAACATTCTTCCTGATAGGCTATGAGCTACTGTTGAGAACACAGTAATGTGATTTAACATGCTTTCAGAAAATGATGGACACCACATTAAACATGCTTTTGTGAGAATCTGAATTTAAGATTTATTTAAATTATAAAAATTCGTTCTTTTTAAATTATAAAAATCGATGTAATATTTTATCACAAAAATTCGACAATTTTCTAATTTTTGAAGGAAATTAAAAGAGGATAAGGAAATAGTTTCCTTTCCCAACTACACCATTTATTTCCTTAGAAAATTCATATCATATCCAATGACTAAACTCTGTGCTAACCCGACTCATTGTCAGATGACAAGAAACTTAACTCCTTATTAAAGATAAATTTGAGTATAAAAGGGATTTACATGTCAGACTCAGTGCAGACCCCTTGATACAGGAGAAGCCATTAGAACCTGCAGACCTCTGTATACTAGAGTCGCCATATTTAGTCAATGGACCCCTCAAAATACTAGAGGATAATTATAGATTCCTCCATATATTTTGGAAAGTAATCAATTATTTTATTTGGGCCTGATCAACTTTGGATGTCTCAACTTCCATCTTGATGAAATGAGTGAAAGAATACATTTATATTCAATAAATGTATTATACACAGTAGTGCCTCATATAATGTACACCTCGAATAACAGATGCTGTGAACAACGGACTTTCTGTTTGGCCGTTATATGACTTGAGAAACGAACCGACTGCGAACAACGGCCTTTCTGTTTGGCAGTTACGTGAGGCAAACAGCATTTCTGTGAACGAGTTGCGAATGATGTTTCCATTCCTTTGCCATTGCCAATGACAATCTACTATTTTTATAATATATTAGTATTATTAGAATATATTATTAATATATCTGAAATACAGAGTGCCTGTTGGGATTTGGCTTGCTCCCTTGTTTATTACGTACATCACCTCAGTGCAGGGTATTTATATTTATTCAAGTGTTGTTCAAATCATGGCTTATAAAAAAATAAAAAGATGATTTCAATTGAAATAAAGCAAGAAATCATCAGGAGTAAAAGTTGACACGGACTTCCTTGTCAAATGGGGAGAGGTTCAGGAGTTTACCAATACTTATTATCCAAACACAGCTGAGGCCAACAGGATCAATGATCTCTACAATGACATCCTTGCCCGTCATTTCCAACAGAAGTTGAAGAAGAGAAACAGACCACCTTGGACACGTGTTTCAAGAAGCCAGCTGCCAAAAAACAAAGGATGGAACAAGAGGAGTTGATCCTGCAAGCTCCAGTAGCCTCTCCTGAATCTGACTTCGATTAAAAAACAATAAAAAGAGACCAGCTGCAATGTGTAAAAAGTCTGTATCTGTATGAATGTGTGAAGAAAGTGTTCCTCCACCTCCTCCTCACATCATCTAACTACCCGGCATAATTGATGACTGCTCCATTTTCATTTTTTTTTTTTTTATGGTACAGTACGGTTATTTTATGCTGCAGAACGAATTGTGTGTTTTAACATGTATTTCTATGGAAAAATGCATTTCGTATAATGGACTTTTCACTTAATGGACATGCACCTGGAATGGATTAAGTACGTTATATGAGGCATCACTGTATATTATTGTAAACTCTCTCTCTCTCTGAATGTAAGGATTCATAATAGAAGTAATTAGATTACATTTTAATCTTGTAATTAATTTTTGTCCTTATTAATTTGTTTTATTATTTAAATTGGTCTCATTTCAAACTGATTTATATATCAAATGCTTTATCATAAGAACCCAAGTCCCTCTGCCTTGGAACTATATAAATTCTTAATATTGTGAGTTAGGACATGTTAATCCTATCCTAACTGGTGTCAGGTCCCTGACTAGACTGGGATCGTATGATCTTTAGTCTAAATTATTCTTTTAAACCATCCACTGACAAAGTGAATGAGTCTCATCGACTTGTCGCCAATAAAAGTTTGATAGACCATCGAACCTGGCATCTCACACTTTGTAACACGTTTTAGAAATGATTAAAAACATTTTCATGTTTTTAATCATTTCCGATGCCTTCATGTCTTATTTTGTTTACAATATTGCATACAGTGCCATTCCCCATTGGTGGTGAATTTTTGAACTTTTTTTTTCTGTGGCAAATAAAATCGCATGCCTTCCTGTAAACTATTACCAAGTTTGATAACATTTTGTCCAGTACATTTCTTTTTATGGCCAATTCAAAGTGGAACTTTAATTATAAAGATCCTGTAATATTGATCATATTTCCAAGACTGTGGTGATAATGAAATTATTGCAGGTTCCAAGAAAAAAAAAAAAATCACAGTGGGAAGAATCTTAAAAACTAGATAAAATAAAAGGCTATATTTAGGAAAAGTTTTTCTTCAAAAGATGGCTTTCGTAATTTCGTACGTCTACAGAGATGTATTAGAATAAGATACAATCTGTTTGGAAGTATAAAACTGAAAAATAATGTAATACATATGTAAGACTGATTGCAAATATTTGGAAAAAATTTTTTAATCCCTAAAAAAATTCAATATCTTAACAGATTTTTAATGGATCTTACCAAATTTTGTGTTTTGTTCAAATTGTTTGTACACAAACCTATAAAATCTTATATAGAATAAAATACTTTAAACACATACTAAACACATTAAAACTCCTAAGATCAGTAAGTGATTTCGAGTTACAGCTATCTTGTATAAATCTTTGAAAGTGTTTTTCATAAACACTTAAAACTAGACTCAAACTTTTAATAATTTTATAATGTTGTAACTAACACTAAGTAACTTGCTGCAAGTGCATATTATATGGAGGATTACAGCAATAGAAATCCAGTCTGAAGATAGGCTAAGTCAAAAGCACTTACCAATTCTGCAAGTTCTATTATATTTAGTACTTTTTAAAGGCATTTAATTATTTTTAATTTGGTATTTTGGAGTTTTATGTATATCTAACAAGATCTCTTAAAAACTGCAACTAATAATTAAAAAGCATTATAATGGTTTGATGGAAAAAGTATTTGAAATGTTTATATTTTATTGGTGTTAAATTGTCTCTTAAAAACTTTACTATTTTTTTTTACCTTGGCTGCTAGAATAGATGCTCGAGCTTGAGGCATCATATATAAATGTTGCATGCATGATGCCAAATAGCAGGTGGCACCTAAATTTGTCAATCCTACGTAACCACAGTCTGATCTCCCGTCTTCATGAGGCCAATAATCCCAAGGATATGGCGCATGAGATTCTGCAGAAAATATTTTGATATAACCAGAAATATTTAATTAGAGAAATACTTCTAAAATTAACAAATGTAAAACTACTTTGTCAATACTACAGTGTATATATATATACACTGTAGTATAAATATATAAATATATATATATATATTTATTTATTTATTTTATTTGACATGTAAACGAATTAATATTAATATTTCACCTGGACTATGTTGCTTCAACAATTTTGCATGAAGAAATTTGTAATTTTCCTCGCAGCCTTTGACCAGTTCGACTAATAAGTCGAATGCAGCAGAACGAACAGGCTGAGATTTACACTTAGGTAAATATCTATGACCCGGACTTGGTAATGCAAACAGACAATCAAACACTTGCAAAAGAAATTCCTAAAAAAAGTCCAAAAATTTACAAAATTGCTTTCATTCCATAGAATATTTAATATTTTGTACCTGGCCTTCCTTTGAAAACTTAAAAGGAGGATTATGTTTTATCACAACTGTCGCTAGCGTAAGCAAGCCTCTCAATCCATCATCTTCGACTGTATTGTGCCTCGTCTCCCTAAAGTCGCGACTGATGACCGCTTCCGCTAGGTAACGAGCCAAACTTTCCAGATCTAACAGAGATTTCTGAGAAGAAAAATTTTATAGTATGTCATTTAAAAAAAAAAATCACTAATAATGCATGACAATTAGTAATTAATTTTAAATTTTGCATAAAATTAAAATGTTAATTTTTAAAAATATAATTTTTTTGTATAAACATAAATATTTCAAATATGTTATACAGGATTCCTACTCAAATTTTTGTTTTAATTTCTATGATCTTCCCTGACCTCTCCTGATCAGCTTAGTACAAATTCCCTGACTCTCACATCTCTTAAAATATGGCACATTGACAAAATAAAACAGCATTTAACTTCCTATGCACATATGTTTTGCTTTTCCAATGTTTTATCAATAGTTAGTTATTTTTTCTAATTAACAGTTATATATTTTTTATAGTTGACAAATTATTAAATTTAAAAATGAAATGTTTTATTAAAATTCTGTTATTCTGTTATTAATCCACAACCATAAAGCTACATAAATTTGAAGAAAAGAAAAAAAAACAATTATTTTTTATTATTCATTAATTAATTAACAAATTCTATATAATTCAGTACAAAAGTACAGTGGAACCTCACTTAACAAGCATAATTGGTTTCAGAATCTTATTTGTAATATAAAACACTTGTTAAGAGAAACAGTTTTTCCCATATAAATTAATGTAAAATAGGATAATGCATTCCATGCTGGAAAAATACTCAAATATTTTATGTATAATGTTTATTCAAAGAAAATTATACAATATACATTGTTAAGAAGCATGAATCATCATCATCTTTTCTTTTAGCATGGAATAAATCAAACTGGAATGCAAATTCAATTTGCAGGAAAAAAAAAAAAAAAATCATATAATATCTGATAAACACACCAAAAAATATGCCAAATTCTTGGGCTATGTAAAAGCTATAATTAAATATTAGAAATTAATTAACTTCTAATATTTAATTATAGCTTTTACATAGCCCAAGAATTTGGCATATTTTTTGGTGTGTTTATTATAAAACAGGCTATGACTGTTGATGTTTATATGCAATATGTGTGAACACAAATTTGGAAAATGTGTGATCACCAGCAACACTAAGATGCTAGTGGAATGAATACTAAACACAGGCTGATGGAGCATGTGCACAATCTGAGACTTCCCCTCTCCTTGTCACTCATTATGTGAAACATTGCTTGTTAAGCAAGTCATTTTTTTACAATTTATTTTGCTTGTTATGCAAAATACTCGTTGTGTGAGGTGCTTGTTAAGTAAGGTTCCACTGTATATATTTATTAAATTTCTCTCTTAATAAATTTCCTAAACTTTATAGAATATTAATAAACTGGAAAAAAATCAGAAATTGTTTTGTTGTGCAATCAAAATTATTAAAATGAAAAATGATAAATAAATAATTTAAATAGTATTATTTATCATTTTGTGTACTTTGTAAATTTTTGGGAAAATTTTGTGTGAGCTTAAGAGAAATTTTGGGTCCTGAAAATATTCTGCATCCCTTTTCAAAAGTTGTATTGTAAAATTGCTGCCTGCAGATGGCTACACTTAGTCAAGCATATTGTCAGCAAAAAAAAATCAAAAAGACAGCCAAGGAAGCAAATTCCCTAACTTTTTGACATTCCATGACTTTCTCTGAACACTAATGAAAATCCCTGACTTTCAGGAGCATAGGAATTCTGGTTATAACTTAAACAAAAATATTTAACAGCAGATTATTTCAGACTATAGCATTAATAATTATATTAAATTCTGAATTATTATTAACTAATTATCCCAGAGTGGGACTTGAATCCACAACTCTCACTCTGGGTCATTTCTTTTCTTCCAAAACATTCTAAATTAGTTATTAAATGTATCAAGTTATAACTCTTTACACCTACTACTAGGATAAATTACTTTACATTTAATTATTGATAGTAGCATTATTACAGCCTGATATAATCCAACAAACATTTGGTATTACTCTAATTTGATTATTGGTTGTTTATGCTAATATACAAAATCACCAAATTAGAAATATAGGAAACATTCATCCCATAATGGCATAAATTTTTCCTATATAATATCATTAAATAAAAACTGAAAGCTTTCTTAAACTATGAAATGTTTAAAGTTTGCAAACTGAGGATGGTCTTTGAAAATGACCAAAAAAATGTTCATTATTAAGGTATTTTTGCTGCTGTTAAAAGGTTTGTGATAATTAATTTCAATTTAAATTTATTCATCTTCAAAAGGTTTTAGTTTTTTTTTTATTCCTTTAAAATGAAAAATATCAAAAAAACATGAAAAATTTCATATACAAAATTTATACAGTCATTTTCAACTTTGTGCAAACTCTATCATGTAACTATTATATTTATCACAGAAAAATTCAAGTAAGCCAAATGAGGCTTGAAGATATTTTTGGGATAACTCATTACATATTAAAAAAATGAGAAAAAACTATACCATGTTGTTGGTAAAATAGTTATCCAGAAATATGTTTCATTTATATATAAATAAATTTGTTTTAAAAACTGATTAATACCTGATCTTGTGCATTTTCCTGAAGTATGTCATCATCTAAACTATCGACTAGGCGACATATTAGCCAAAAATAATCTTTACATCCTGGTCCATACGGTTCTTTCTCTTCTTCCTAAAAAGTAAGATCTAAAAATTAAAATCTTAAATACAAAAAAAAAATACAAAAAAATAATTCCTACATCTGGTCTTGGAGGTCTCATGTTTTGTGCCACAGACAAAAAGCTCAGTAAACTGTTAAGTAATGGAGCGATGAATCCCAGTCCCGTCTTTCCGTCAACAGTCGATCCCAGACACAGCCGATACAGGCCTGTACACGTCTCCCTTCGAACTGCAGGCTGTAAGTAAGATGTTTGTTGTTTAAAACCGAGCTAATATTTGATTAAATCATTTAGAATTTTATACTTATAAAATTTACCTCTGGATCATCCAAGACTAGTCTTTTCAGCCATGATTCCAAATCGGGATGTTGAAATAAATAGGTTTTGACGAGTGGTTCGGAAACAGCCCAAGACACCAACAATGTCATTGCACAATACACAACTTGAGCTCTTCCCCAAAATCCCGTTTTGTATTGATTAGGATCGCATGGTAAAGCAGCTTCATATAAAATACTTAATAAAACTTTCAGTACAGATTCTACTTCACACATCATTTGTAACATGACCTAAATCATAAAAAGTAAACTTGTATGTCTCAATTCCAAAAAAAAAATTATTAATTCATAAATTATTGAACAGTCATATAATGTTAATTCTAATTTAATTTTTGACATAGAAATTACTACATTTAAAGAGAGTATTTGGTTCTGGCTAACAAATCAGAATATTGACTTCTACTATTATGAAAAAATAAATAACCATTCTAAGATGTGAAAACCAATAAACTGAAGCAAAATTTTACAATCAGGCAACTTACCATCAGGTTAACAATCAAAGTAATCTGCTCTGAAAGAAATGTGTTTTAGAAAATATATATTATATTCAATTTAGATGTGTCCAATTTCTTATTTCATGGCTAAAATTTAAAAAAAAAAAATTGTACTTTGTACATTGGAGGTCCTATTTTTAACCATTTTTAGAATATTTTTTCCTATATTATTATTATTTTGTTCCTTTGTCTACTTACTTGCTTTCTTAATTATACAGTTAAAACTAAATTAAATTGTATGGTGTGTTGCATGTTAAGCAAATTTTTCCAAAGTAGCCATTTTAGTTATATGCATCATAAATTTATCAGCCTGTACTAAGCCATAGTCTATCATATATTTTTCATTTGGTATAATTCCAAATTATACTTAAGCATTCACCATAAATTGTATCCAGTATATGTTTAATAAATAAAGTAAGTTGTTTTAGTTATTCATGTTTTGCACAATAAATGATAAATAATGCATAACAGTAAATATAATCTTTACTAATATTAAATCAAACATCTGCTTGCAAGATTTATCAGATACATTTGGGCTATTTATTTAGTTAACTATGATTTGACTAAAGATTCGAGGTTATATTTTTAATTATTAATATTAACACAATATTGCAATCAATAGTAATTATAAACTTCAACACTAATAAATAATATCAAAATACTACATAAGAAAATTGATAATACACTGCTACAATAAAATTTATAGTGTGCTTTTGTTTTAAAACATTGAAGCTTCTTTGAAAATGAAATATGATTGCAATATCAAGAACATGTCTCAGGGAGGGTGATTCTTTGAGCGTTTTAGCGAACGCAAATAACCGGGGAGTGTCTGGTGAGCAAACCACCGCCCTGTTTAACCTCCACTCTCTAGCAAAGGAAGCTTGTGTAAACCTTTTTAGCCTTAAAAAAAAAAAAAATAATAATAATATGGTTGCATTCTATTTATGTCATCCTTCTGCTTTACCCTAGCACAATATAGTAGCCCAATAAATTTGGCAAATACTTAGTTTCATATTACTAAAATCAGGCTAGTTCATTGCTGATGTATGTATACATGTACCAAGCCAGAGTAAGTTAACTTGTCCTATGTTGATCCCAAAAATATTTGTGTTGACTTCATTGACCTGCGTGGGTGATTTGAAATATTTCTGTATTTACATTGGAACGTTTTTGATACTAGATGTTGCTTTGTGTCACAATTTTTATATTAAAACGAACTTTTAAAATAAAATTTTTTTCGTTTTTATAGTATTCAATATATATATTTTGTTTGTGAAACATAAAAAAAATAATTTTTTATGATACAGTAAACACAATTATTATTTAAAAAAAAATTTAGGCTTAACATCAACGAAAATTCAACATGGCGGCACAGTCAACAAATAAAAATTTCAACATTGAATAGATTAAAGCTGGCAGAGAATCAGAGACAACAGTCAAAGATGACCCCAGTTAGCAAGACAAGTCAATTAACCTCCACAATTACATAGCTTTTATTAATATTGATCTGAAAGTGAAGACTCAACAGTGGTCTGGGTAGTGTACTAACAACACATTTGTCCAATATGCAGAAAAGTCGAGTCCCCACCACAAGTCAATCTTTTCTTCTAGATAATTCAAAATTATTTAATTTATTTAAATTGAACTTGTATTAATTAATATTAATAAATAGAAGATGGTAGTCAAACAGTTTGCCTTTGGTTAAATTATATGATTAATTAACTAAATTAGTAACCCAGATATAGCTTAATACATCTAGTAACTAACTAATGAATTTATTATTAATAAAATCTGACCAGTTCATTACTTATGTACAAGATTTTAAATATAAATTGTATGTTCTTAATCAAACAAACAACATATATCTAATATTTCTATTCCATGACACTATCTGTACATTTCTATATTCAACGGTTGACTCAACAGTGAGAGAACGTTTCTAAATGGACTGTTGAGTTCTCTGTTGAGACTAGTGACGTCAGCACTGTTTCGTCGTTGAGCTCAACAGTCTCAACAACCTGAAAGACCGTTGAGTATTCAACTTCCGTGAAAAAATAAATTTCGCTTATAGAAACTATCCATTCACTGCTGTGGATGCTATAATAGCGGACAGATTAATGAATGATCTGTATATGATAAAATGATAATCAGCCATCTTGAAAGCGATCTCTCAACGAAAGCGTTTCTTTTTTCTGCAAAACATGACTTCAGATTGTTCAACAGAAGGACTCAACGTAAAATTCACTGTTGAGTCAACCATTGAATATAGAAACGTATGGTATTTCATTTTAATTTGAGAGAGAGATAAGTTTCTTTAATCTCATGTAACTTCAGTAGGAAAATTTATGTATATATATATTTCAAAAATAATATGAGAATCATCTTATAATGTAAATTAAACAAGTATTTCAAGTCACAGTACTAAAGAATTTTTACCTTATTAAGTTTTGGAATAAGTAGTTTATCTGTGCTGCCTTTTCTAGAACGTTTAGTTTTCTTACGAGGCATTTCTCCATTATCATGCCCGTCTTCAATGACAATTTCATTGTCTGTACTTCCGATGCCAAACTGATATATCAATCTCAGCAGACAGGCAACACAATCTTGGTTCCACTGATAAAAAAATTCAAATATTTAAAATTATTTCCATCATAAATTTGAGCAGAATTAAAAAAATATTTACTTCATTCCATTCTTCTCCATCTCGTGCTTGAAGGACTCCAGAAACAAATATGTCAAATAAATGTCTCAATCCACCATGTTCCACAAACTATTCAGTTATAGTGAATGGTTTAATAAAAAATCTCAAATAAATACACAGTATATAAAATTCATACAATTCAGAAACTTTTACATACTTTTTGTGCCCATGCTATTTCCTGATGAGATGACTGCTGCTGATCAGTAAGAGAGGATTTATAAGGCTATAAAATATGAAATGCACAAAGAAATAAGAATTCATAAAATATAATATTTTTGTTATTTAATTCAATCTGCAATACAAATGTGTGTGTTTGTTTTCAAAAATAAAATTTATAAAATTTGAACATTTCATGACGAATATATTGAACCAAACAAGAAATTCAAAATTATATTAGCCAAACAAGAAATTCAAAATTACTGACAAAGAACATTATACAAGTATCCTCCTCTAATTTTGATGCTTACATATGTTAATAGCAGGCAAGTAACTGTTTCAAATTTCAGACAACATTGCAATTTTATTTTGAAACAGTGGGCCACTTTTACATTGCTGGCCATTAAAATTGAAAAACACACACCATACCAATCATTTTCAAACTTGCAAGATGGGCAGGACATAGCACTGTTTGAAAATGATTACACACAAAAATAAAGTATACAAGCTATTCTCTATTACTGCTTCTCATAATATAAAAAGCAATTGCAATGAGCAGGTTCCCAGAACCTCAGTGAATGACTTCTGGCAGTTCTAGTATTGCAGGTGATACATCAGTGTTTTCTCCGAGACCAATTATGAAAAGAGAATGACAGCCACACATATATCTGACTTTTGGACTCCAAATGTAGGAAAAATGCACAAATGCAAGTGTCTCAATCCACCATGTTCCACAAACTATTCAATTATGATGAATGGTTTAATTAAAAAATTTCAAATTAATACACGGTACTGTTGACGAGTAACAATTCTACTTTCCAAACATCAGTGCTTGTATTGAACAGAATGCAAGAATAGTAATATAAATATTGTGTCATTGAATAGAGGAGGGTTGAGCCCTCTGATGCAAGGTAGCTCTAACATACTAACAACTGGGAAAACAGACGTTTGACATATGTAGCAGTGATGAGCCTAATGCAAAAGTAGAATTCTGTTACACATCAACAGGTGTCCACACACATTTCACATAGTTTGCGGCAGCAGAGCTTCTTGCCCCTCTCGTAGTTGCAGACACCTATGCCAAGAATGTCATCAAAGCACTATGATTGGCATTGCAATGTGTTCAGACAAATGTTGAAGTCTAGCATCTTTTCATGAAGAATAAAACTTTATTATTTACATTTTTTAAATAATTCTATTCAGTTCAAATAATTTTCAATTTAATTTATAATTCATTTCCATGCTTACAAATGGGGGCAAAATCAAAAGTATTTTGACCTAAAAGAGCCTTTCACTGCTTAACTATTGTTTGCATCTTTGTATGATTAAATAAATGAATTAACAACACATTTTGTAACCATTTAAAAGAAGTTTTTTGGACAAATAAAACAAAATGTTATGTCCTTTGAATCCAATGTTCACCAGAGTTCAAGAATTACTCATAAAACCATTTTATTCCCAGATATTTTAAATGCATTTTGGATTGGAGTTTTAGCTGATCCTTCTTTAGTAAAGGTACAATCTGAGATAGAGTTTATATTATTATTCTACTTCCCCAACATCCATCACAGTAGCAATCTTGAACTCGAGCAAATGTCATATTTGAAGGACATAATGTTTTGTTTTATTCATCCAAAAACCTCCCTTTTAGTGGTCATAAAAGTGAGTGATTATATCTGGCAAATATTGCTAATTTTAGCTTAGTACTAATAAATAAGTTTATCATAAAGTTTTGTTAAAATTCTTTACCAAATTACATAAATTATTGTGAATTATTTTAGCACCACATTTATTAAAACTTTACTTAACAAATTATAAAGTATATATTATATTTTGTACATAAAATATATGTATTTTTTTTGTATTTTAATATAACTCTGTTTTATAATTAGATATTTACATATTACTATTACTCTCTAACATTTAATCAGCATTTGTTGTTTTGAAAAACTGGATTAATTCACATTAAATAGCAGTTCTACTGCTTTTCAAAAGGCACAAACTAATGTATTAATGTATTTATTAATTTTTAACTACTCTTGTCATCATCATCCAACACTAAAGGCAATCATCATTTTTCTACATCTTTCTCCTCTTCTGGTATATTGCATCAATAATTTCTATTTTAGTCACTCAATTCCTCAAATCTGTCTTACTCAACATTTAATGTCTTGCCAATTAAAAGACATATATGACAAAATGATTTTAGAAGCAAATAACAAAGCAAATAAGCTATCTTAATGTTACTCTTAAATGTAATAGTAATAAAAATACTTACGAGTGATTTATTTAGTTTAGGACCCTGGCGTCTTAACGACTCTACGATCTGAAGAGAGTACATTAATTTAGGAGGACCTTCAGGATTCAATAACTTCTGTAACAATGCAGTGTTTTTACCCGGTTCTTGATCCTATAGTTTTTGTTAATAGATAAATTATAAATATGATGTTAATTCTGTGATATCCTAACTTTAAACTTTTAAAAAAAATAAATTGTGATGAACATACTTTAGCAATGTCCTTAAATCCTTGTAACACGACAGGAGAGGTTGGTAACATCGTTAAGATTTCCCAAACACGTCGAGATAATACTTGAGCTCTAGTATGAGCAACTGGTTCCTTATTTTAGAAACACAGTTATAATACATTTTAATAAACAAAATTAATTAAATTACAAATTCAAAACAGTTAACGACATTTTATCATTTTGCAACAGCAAGATTATATAAATATGTAACAATATCAAACATAAAACTATTTCAAACCTGACAGGTCAGACAGTTTTAATGTTAAGAACATTTCAATAGACTACTACCAAAAAACTTGATAAATAAAAAATAGACTTGCAAGAAAATTATTAATGAAAGTAATATTTAATACTACTTACTCCTGCTCGATTTACAGCTTTGTAATAACCAAGTTGTTGCATTAAACTAAATAACTGTTCAAAATACAGTGGCTGCAATAATAAAGTTATCGGAAGACGTTCTTGTGGTGGAGGAGGTAACGTCGAGGCAGGTTCAAGTCCCTCTCTTCTACGCACTGGTCTGGCCGCTCCAACCGAAACAAAAACCAACTGAAATTTTTTAAAATTTTGTACAGAAATATCAATGACTGTAGCCAATAATCAAAATTTTTACTGTCAAATGTTAACTAATAATAATAATAAATTATTACCAATTTTTAACTCTATAATTGTTAACTCTAATCATTACTGTTTTTTTTTTGTGTCCTTACTCATTTAATGTCAAAATAAATAAATAAATCAAACATTATTTTTTTATTATTAAATTTGAAATTGTGTCTTCCTATTTACTTTGTTTCCTCAGTACAATGAAGTTCAATTGATTACACACAAGGCAGTTTTGACACACCAATGAATAAATAATGTAAAAAACCACCTTGTATCTAATCACTTGCACTTCATCATGTTGAGGAAACAAAATAAATCAAACAATTAAACATTCAATAAATAATAATAATGAAATCAGATGACTTGAAAAATTTAATTTGTAAGATTTATAAAAGTCTTTTTAGTTATTTCTATAGTCACAAAATCTTCCAGAATGTCTATTTAAAAGTAATAGTTCTCTGAAAATGGACACAGAATCCAAAAACATTTAAATGTATTTAGTTTGAATCATTTGAGAAACAATAGGGATTTACATTAATTTTTTTAACTTTGGCATGCACATGCACACATGTATATAAGCTTATTAAAATACTTAAATATAGACAACCTTATACTTGTCTGAATGCATTTAACTTTTATTTGCTCTTAATTATTTTGTTGTTTACTATATTAAATTATTTATATTAGAAGCCAAATTACAAAAAATAAAACAGTTCTCAAAGAATACATATTCATATCATTCATAAAAGTCACGTTTATAGTATCATTTGTGTAATATTATAAATTTAAATCCTATTCAATTACATTATTAACAGAATGTAACTTTTAATTAAAATAATTACCTGTAAATCTTTGAATCCCATTTCTGAAAGAGTTTTCTCGTCCAAATCACAAGTCAATTCTTGACCTTGAGAAATCATTCTTATCGGGCCTTCAGAAAGCATTGTACCCAAAATGGGAGAAAGGGCTGAATTACTTCCGCTACTACTACTTCCACAACTTCCCTCAATATCCTGTAAAAAAATTTGTTTATTTGAGCCAATTTTGTATAATATTCTCATGAATTCTAATTTCTCTTCATTCTTTAATTAAATGACACAAATGAAAATACAGTAGAGCGTCGATTTTCTGAATCAATTGGGGACTGGGGTTGTCCGGATAACTGATATTTCGGATAACTGATTTACGTACGAAAAAATAGTTTAACGTATCCGATGTCGAAATTTTTCTCCGTTGCGTGTCGCTTCACGTTGAATTTTCGTCGATGTTAAGCCTAACGAAGACTATTGTATCGTTAAAAATTTTTTTTTATTTTGTACAAACAAAATAAATATATTGAAAAATATAAAAACAATAAAAAATTATACTTCAGATGTTAATTTAGTATCAAAAACACAAAATATTTGAGTAGCCCAAGTCATAGCCAAAGATTGAAGCACCACAGCACTGGCGAAAATTTAAATTTGCCGACTGGAATTCTTTTAGATGATTGACGTTTCGGATGATTGACTTTCGGAAAATCGACGCTCTACTGTACAATTAAACTTTAATGCTAAAGTTCACAATATAGATTTCTCTATTTAAAAAATTTTTTTCTGTAAAATGTTAAAAGTATGTCTTAAAATTGCAAAAATTTTGTACCGTATTGTAAAAATCCATACTGCTTTTTAATGTAGTGAAATATTTATTATATATAAAAACATTTTCAGCCTTTTCATGTCAACTCTAGTTACATAGAACTCTTTAAAATGGAATGTAGTTCAGAACGTTACAGAATCCTTTAAATACTAAAATTACACCTTCTAACTTTCCAGCAATTCACTGATTAAAAACATGTTTTTGGCCACTTACAGTGGCCTGCATCAGATTAAGCAGAATTTTAATCAGTGAATTACTAGAAAGTGAGAAAAAGGTATAAATTTTAGCATTTAAAATATAGTTTCAGTTTTAGAATTAACAAGTGAATCCCTTTCTTTACACTCTAAAAACAAACTGCAAATTGAATTAATGTTAAAATCAAACAGAAATTACAGTACAGTCTCACAAACTGAACTTAACGTGGACCAAGAAGAAGACAAGTTACTAAAAATGACAAGTTTCAGAATAGTGATGATGCTAGTCAAAATATCAGAATTTTTGTAAAGGTATCACATGTACAAATTTACATATGTATTAAGTACCTACCAATAGTGGCTGTTTCTATTTGTAGACAAGTTTTAATTTTAAAAATACTGGCTATTTGATGACTACTTTCGAAGTTAGTGATATTCACATTGTGGTGTTTTGCAAGTGGTAGCTTTGAAAAAGGATTATGTTCTTTGTTAACATATGGAATTGATGCTATTATTGAATGATGCTGAAAAAGAATGATAATTAACTCGATCCCAGAAAGTAAAAATTAGATTACTTTTTTTAAAATGATACAAGTTTTACAGAATGTTGAGTTATCGAGAGTCAAGTTTCCAGGACTCCACTATACTATTTGTTTTATTGAATGTAAATCAAAGATATAATAGTAATTGATATACATGGTCTATCTTTGTGTTATATTTAAAAAATATATTTTTCAATATAAAACAATTATTTTGTCCACCAATCACAAAACAAACTCTAGTAATTCACAGACTGCAGATAAATTAATCAATCCTGAAGAGTCATTAGCAATTAGGCCATAAATCAATGTAGAAAGCATTACCTGCTGCTCTCTTCTACTTTTCTTTTGTAGCTGTTCCCACCACTGACTAACTTCAGCACGAAGATCTGCCACATAATCCGTACTCTGCATTTCTAAAGTCGTCTAAATTATACAAATATTCTCATTAAATAACAAAATTCTTGTAATTAATAAAAAAAATAAGTTTTTATTAAATCCAAAACAATTTAGTGAAACAAAATTTAAAGCCCAAGAGTTTTATTTTAATGAAATTAAAATTTTAATTATACATTAAGCACAGAAGAAAACTGTAAGGTTGAAATTAGAATTATGATTTCAGAAGATTCATGTATTTCACAAATCACCTGATAAAATGTTTGATCACATTCTGCACTAAATATAAATAAAACACACACACACACACACATTTTACTAGTAAAATGGCATACAAAGAGAAAAGGTACTATTTAGAATACAAATCGTGTAATTTTAAATAAAAAAAAATACATATTATAAACATAAAAGAACACCTAAATTACAATTAAGTTGTATAATCACAAATGCAAATTATTTCTAAAAGATTTACTAAAACAATTGGCATTACTGCAAATGCAAAGACTTGTAAATCTTACATTGTTGCATGGTATTGTGGAAAGTGTATAGTATTTTATTTTATAGAATTTACCAGACTGTCACCAGTACAAGAATAAAAACCAAAAATAAAACATTCTATATGCCCTTCAAATAAAGTAAAGCAGTTTGCAAAAATAATAATTGTCATGAGCACTCAATAAGATCATATTACAAGTAATAAATTTATAAATGGTTGTGGTTAACAAATTTCCAGTACCAGTACAACTCAAAAATGTCAATGTTTAATTTAGCAATATTTTAAGTCTAACACATTATTTATAAAATATAAATTATAATAAATTATGAAGATTTTACAAATGAGTTGCAGTATTTTTTAATTCTAGTCAGGACCAATAGCTGATAATGCAAAAATAAAATACTGAAAATCTTAATATAAAAAAGACTTCAAATGATCTTCAAATTATTGGGCTCTTTTTGGACTAATTCATCTGATCATTTGGTGTTATTTAATTAAATCAGGTTATAAGTAGTTATATACATGATAAATGGTATATAGATACCAAGTTAAAACAGTATCACTAAACAGATTATTGTGAACATATTTTAGCACGTTTTTTAAAGATAAAAAAATCCAGCAATAAGTTACATAACTTTCCCAGCAAGCTCTTAATCCTTTTTCTGAGCTCAAACAATTTTGGGAATTTTTTAGTAATTTTTTTAGTGTTATTAACCCCTTAATTGAGACAAGTCTTACATTTGCATTTTGGTTAGCATCACAACTGGCTTGTAATTTTAACAAGCACTAGTGCCCATTAAAATATTCCTCCTCTGCTTCTTGTTCATTTTTACAACTCCACTGAAAAGTTTCTGTATCTCATTTGTGAAAGTGTAGCCCTTTACTTTGGCAAACTTCATCTGAACTCTTTTTTGTTTTTTTGTTTAGGTAACATCTATCATCTCTCTTTTACGAGCTTGTTGTCTTCAGAATAAAGAGACCAGACTTATAATTAACATGATTTATTTTGAAACATTTTAAGTGACTGTAGTGTCTGCCTTACTTTCTCTACATTATACAAGATGACCTAGAAAATGAAAAACTTCATGACCTCTTCTTCAACTGATTTGTAATATTTAAGTTTCAACAAAGTGCTTGAGGCTGAAAATTTAAATAATTATTGCTATAACCTTCCAAATGGAGAAACTCTTAACTTGAGAAAATGTAGAGATTGAATATTGAATATCTGAAACTTTTGCTTGCTAAAAATTATTATTAAAAATCCAGGAAAGAAAACTCAAATTAAAATTTGAATTCAAATTAAACTAATTAATGAAAACAAGATATCATTAATCAAGTACTTATAAAAGTGTAACTTTATTGTAATTCTTGTAAGCTCTCTAAGAATATTAAGATCTCCAAAACATAACTTCACAACCTTTTAAATATAAATGAAGTCTTGTATTTTATAAGAAATATATTTGTTCTGTTTGCCTAAGTATATCTTTTTAACAATAAAGTATGAATGTACTGTACCTGGGCAAATTGATTACTTCAGTTTTATATAAAGAATATTAATAAGTTTGTGTACTTATATAATTCTGATTAGATATGCCCCTTCTTTAGAAATTATATTTTGAAAGTTTAATTCTAAAAATTCTTATAGTAAAATTCACATGTGTAAATATCATTGAAATAAAACTGTTATTACATTAAAGTAAGTATATACATAATTTTAAATTAATTTTTCATACTTTTTCAGAAAGTCCAGCAGGTTGACACACAATTCTAAGAGGTGGAGATTGCCTTTCACCAACACATGATCTGTGACTACTAACACTTTGATCTGCTAGTTGCCAACGACGGAGATGATAGGCATATCTAAAATAATACAAAAATAATAAAATCATCTTATTATATTTATTTTTCTTAAAGTACATTTGAATAACAGTTTACTAACCTTCTTCGAAAAGCTTCAATGTGGGTTTTTAACAATAACAGGGCTCTTTGAATGACCATTAAATTGTTTTCTTCTGACTAAAAATAGAAATCACTCTCATAAATTTCTTCATACAAAAATTACAAATTCATTTTTTTTAATATAATTAATGATCTCTTACATCTTTTATATCTTGAGATGCCATATTCAAACTACCCATGCAGCGTTCAATAAATTCTTCTTCTTTTTCAAGCGTTCCATGATGTACTAAATACACATTTTCATAAAATTCAATACGCTTTTTAATTATAAAATTTATTATAAAATAAGTAAAAACAAAATGCATGAGTTAACAATAACAGAATTTCTCTTCTTTTATTTTTTTAACTAAATGATATAATGTTTCTTTTTATATTATATTACAGGAAATTGACTAATTATCTAGATTATAAAGACATCTATTTATCTATTTAAACAATAGTGCCAAACACTGGAAATTTTCATACCTGGATGGATACCCAAGATAATTCAAGCATTTCACAATGAAAGGCATGCAGCTTTTCAGATTTTTCAAGAATTAGTATTAATTTACAATTTCCCCTCTTATAATTTAAAGAATATTAAAACCAATAAACTATTACAGTATAAAAAAAATCAGCAAAATGTTGATGTAATAAGCAAGCAAGAGTAGGAGTAACATTTGAAAGATAGGCGAGGCCGTTTACCTATCAATTTTTTGATGGTATCAGTCACTTCCCCTTTGAGTATTTTTACCAAACAAAAAATGTCTTAGCCTAGAGCATTTCAAAATTAGTACTTGTAATTTAAACTATAATGTTATCTTTTGCAAGAGCCAAGACAGGGTATGGTAAATATGAAGAGGAAGGGTTAGAGGTTTGTGATTATGCAATCAAATGGCCAACTACAACCTCGAAAACTTATATTTACATAGTAGAAGCAAGATAATGATAAACAATCACTTTTTTTTGTTACTGTCTATCCTTCATAACATATACATAGCTGCTAGTAAAGCATTCAATTTGCATTACATTCTATACAGTTTGATTACATTTAACCAATCAGTAGTTGACACTTGTCCAATTAGTAAACTGTCGATTGATCAGTATTGGAAACGTAGCTTCTTTCAAAGTTGCCATTTAATCTGTAACCAGTCAAAAAGATCAATTGGTCTATAACTAAGAATAATAATAAATATGAGTATAAGAGCTAACGTTTGTAAATTTCCAGAAAGATGAATGAATTCCTCAACTTTACACAAAATATAAAAGTTTTTCCTGGCTTACTCCCCACTATTGCAAAATTCCAACATTTCTCAGTTTTCCTGCCAAGGGAAAACCTTTCCAGTCATATATACATGCAGAGTTTTGGACTTATTCAGAACAATTGTCAACAAAAACCAATTTTTTAGTCATAGTGCATCAAATTAATGGCAGTGTGAAATTAGTACAAAGCTTGATCATAAATCAAATTTGTATGCTTAAAATCAATTAAAAGAAAATAATAATTACAGTTATTTCCTTTTCAATACAACTTACCATTTATGTAATAATTATTCAAATATTGAATTGCTGCCATACTAACATCGGTATTGAGAGCTCTTAATGCTATTGCCCACAACTGCTGCATTCCGCTGACCTGTATTAAATATATTTAAACATTTTTTTTTTAAATTAATTATTTTGCAATTATGTAAATAATAAATAGATAAATTGTTATAATACATCGGCTTCCGACGTTGGAGTGTCATAAGATGCTGTGGCGAGATGGGCCAAACTGCTTAGCTGCTGTAAAAGACTGAGGGCAGTCATGCTAGTATTCTGTGCAGGTAACTGTGGCATCTGAAATCATTGTTTGTTTTAAAATAATAATTTCGAAAATTATATTTCAAATTTTACTATTTGATTATTATTACCTTTTCTAAAAGAATATGTTTGAAAAGACCTAAATTAAGTGCATGCTGATCTTTGCTCATGGCTTGATTGAGAAGCCAGCTAAATAATTCGTCGGCACACTCGTTGTCGGTAGCCAAACAAGACCACAGCATGTCGACTTGATCTTTGCTCAAACCTAATAAAAACGAAAGTTCACTTATTAAAAAATATTTTGCATGTAGTCACGCAAAAATTTAACCTAAAATTTCTATCATCTCTATTAAATGCTGCTATGTTGGGAAATATAAAATAATAAAAGATAATTATCAGTTTTTCTAAGTTTTCCTGCATTTCTAAATGTTATTTTTTCTAACTGCCTAATAATGCTGCTGTAAAATAAATTTATTTTATTTACAGATTGTTTTGAAGATGGACTATAATTTCTAAAAATATCAAAGGTAAATGAAGATTGACTTCTTTAAATCAAACCATTTGCCATGAATTTGTTTTAAAAAAAACTTAGAAAGTACTTTGGAGTTTCAATTGTGCATGCACGTGAGAACGGATGTATCAATAAAACAATTCCAAATTACAAGAGCTCACCAAAATTATCTGGAGATCCTGCTGCTGAGAAAACACAAGTTAAGAAATGTAATCGAACTTGAATTTCTTCTTTGTGACTGTATCTGCAAAATGAAAAGCAAATGTTATATAAATTCACATATATTAACAGTTCAAGTCAAAAAACATTTATTTTAATGAAAACACTTTACAGAAAAACAAAATTTTACTTGAAATAAAACAAAATGAATTTAAATAATAAAAAAAATGATAGTTCATAACTATACTAAATCAACAAAAATAGCTTAAATTGAATATTTTGTGATGAAACAGTCAAAAACCAGTCCGCTCTAGAAATAATATGAATAATTGCCAAATGCTCCGAATGTCCAGAATCCAACATTGACCCTCAACTGGCCAAGAGTCCAGAAGTTTAAAAAGCATTCTGTTGGAAGTAAAACTCCATCTCAATACACATAATCGTACTTACTATACGTCACCACTATATACTTATATTAAAAATTACATCAAGACGGGAACAAATTACACAGTAATTTACTTTTGGTGTTTACTTATTAGTAGTAAACTTTTTATTCTGTATTGTGCAAACACAAATATTAGATTTGCCAAGAAAACTAATTATTCACTTTATACACTTATTACCAATTACTCAATCTGGAATTTTTTTCATATACAGTAATAGAAGACTTAAGAAATGGCAATTTTTTTAATATTCACAAACAATTATTGATACATTCATGTAAAATACCAAAATGTGAGAACTAGAACGAGTTAATAAAAATTAAATGTTCGATATTAAACGATCAATTATTGTTAACAACGAAACTCTCCGTTTTTCTTTGTGTTAAAATTTTCCCTGGGAGGAAATCTATCCTTCCGTGCCCCGGAGTAACTTCCTTTCACAACGGAACCCGAAACTGAATCACCCGGACATCTTTCAAAAAAATCTACGATTGGTGAAACCCGACCACGAGACCCGAAGGTATAAAGACCAGGTACCGCACGAAAGGGGGGTCGACTCCGCCTAAAGCGATCCAGGACGTCACGCTGTCCGCCTCGCCGACGAACCCTGAGACGATCCCGAGACACAACCCGAAGCCTACCCGATCAAGATCCTCGACCCGAGCAAAACCTTCAATCCAAGAAATAGACCAAAATTAATCCGAGGTATGACCCAATATTGTACACTCTCTCTCGGCGCGGTCCCTTCGAATAACGCGCAAGTAGGTAGTCTTTGTATGTTAGGATTATGTTGTCTAAATAAATGTTTGTTTGTCTATTAAAAGTCGTCTTTATTTCGAGTATTGTTAACGCTTTACCGACGACCCGTCTCACCTCCTCCACTCGACCTGACAAAAGAGTCCAGACTTTCCGGGATAGAAAAAGCATTTTCTAAGCCATCCACTGACCAGTGGGCAGTTCTCACCCAACTGTTGCCTATCAAAACGAGGCACGACTCCGTCCTACCTCAGGCTACCCACAAAAGCTATTAGGATCTTAAACATAAAATGCCTCGATTCACATAGTTTTAGACCAGACATTTACTAATAAAATCTACTCTTCCTCCAAATCAAAAAATTGCATTTGTAAATTTAAAAACTATCAATCATTGATTTTCCACTTCCTGTATTATTTACAGAAATTATTATTTTTTTTACTTTGGTTTTAAATAATAGTATAGGAAAAAACAGAAACTAATTTAATAACTGCACAATAGACACGTATAAAATGTTAAATTATTACATAAATAATATTGTAAATTAACTTCTGAATACTTAAAGGCAATTGAAAAATAAAATAAAGAATATGCATTTCAGATTGTTAAAAAGAAATACTCTACATAGAAAAACATTTAAAAAAAATAAGAGCGATCTACAAATTCATTGATGATTGTTGCAATGTGATGTAAAGAAATGATGTAGCAAAATATTGAGTAGAATATGAAAACAACAGTAATTCAAAATATTAACTCTTTTGTAATTTTAACAGATTAAATAACTATTTCCAGTTAATTTAATACTTCAAATTATTTGAAAATATTTGTAAATTTCAATAGATTTTGAAATTAACTTGCACAAATGTACAATAGAAGTTATCTTTAAATAATCATTTTCTAAATATAACGACTGTAAAGAAACAATTAATACAGCGATGGAAAAGAACAAAAACAAAGTATCACAAAAAAATTTAAAAAGGAAATTAAAAATTGTTCAAAGCCATGGAAATAACAAACAGAGATGATACCACACAAATTTCCAATATGGTATTTTGAAACTAAAATTTCTAGATTTCTCATTAATTTTCTCATGTCAAAATATTTAGCAATTTTGGCATGAGAAATTGTTTGTCAATCCAAATTTATGAAATTCAGCAAGATTTTTAATTTAGCAATATATTTATTGCTATATTTTATACTTTAATTAATTAATTGGATAACAATAAAAAGGAACTTTTTTTGCCATCTCCTCTCCTTGTCCAAAATTAACATCTTATAAATAAGAAAAATATAGTACAGTGGGAGATGCTTAAATAAACGATGCTACAATAAAAATAATTAACATGGCACACATCAAGGTTTTCCCACTTTGATTAGAGCATTAGTCATTGTCTTTATTGTAGTTTGTAAGGTTCAAATATCTGTTTATTTGCAACTTTAACAATAAAAATATATTTTGTAAAATTATTCTGCTGTATAATTTTAGTCAAGAGCTGGCAAAATAGTGAGAGAAAGCTAATTAACTTACACATTAAAAAATAAATAATTTCTAAACAAGTGGAAAAAGTGCAGCATATTCAGCATACACCATATTCAGCATCCAGACCCTTGGGTCTGGATGCTAAATATGGTGTAGCTAAATTATTGATTTATCAATCATAATTAAACTACACCGTATTCAACAAAGAAAATGTAAAAATTAAGCAGGCCGCAAAAAGAATCTTATATTAAGCAGTTCACATAATATCACAGAACAGATGGAAACTTACATATATGATGTATAAAAATTGAATAAATTAATTTTGTATTATTTTTACACTTATATTTCTGATTTTGTATTATTTTTTTCCTGTTTAGATAGCTATGTTAGATGGTAACTCTGTTCTAGACTTGGAATAGATTATCCCTAAATACATATATTTCAATTTATGCTAGAAGAAACAGATGCTGTAACAAACATCATTCTAGAACCAATTGTGTGCATATTGTGATGACAGATTGCACTTTATTTTTTACTCCGACTCCCTTCTGTATACAATCCGTCATTATCACTGCCTTTCCCCTCCTCATTTGCACAATCGTATTTACAATAAATGTCAATTAACAACAGAATATTCCAAATAAATTATTTTGTATGCATAAACACTCAGATGACTTCCCCTCTCTGTGTCAGCATTCAACAACACCCGCCTGATACCCTCTCCATCTCAATGTTGTTGCAATAAATGCACACCATTTTATGTTCATTCTAGCATACTTTACTGTATTTAATCAATTAAATATAATATACTAGATAAATCTGTCAGATTTTTTTCTGAGCTGAAACAAAAATATACAGTATCAGGTTTCTTAAAAAAAGTTTATTAAGCCCTTTCAGAAATTATTTCCTTATCATTGGAATCTCTATACAAGATAGTTCTAAAAATCAAGAACCAATGTTAGTTACAAATAAACCAAGGAAACATTAATACTGCAACATAATATAATTTTCTCTAAATAAATTAACAAAAAGCATTAAACATTATTTGAATTTAAAATTTATTAATAGCTTACAGTGAACTGTTTGATGAACTTGGTGTTTTAAGTGTCGATGTATAAGTAACGAGATTGTTGAAAAAATGATTCATCATTTTATGTTCTCTTTCTGCCCACCTAAAATGAAGTTATAAATACACTTTAATTGAAAATAGATTTTATTTTATAAAAACAACTAAAATATTTAATTACATTGTTATGGAATGAGTATCACTTCCACCTCTGAACTGTTGAAATGATCCTAGAAGTTTTGGAAGTAATCGTAGCGACACGACGACGGATCTAATACAAATTTTAGTTTTTTGTTAACATTTGTAAATAGATAATATGGAAAATAAGAAGTAAACCTACCTGTTATTAGCTAAGTTGTCAAGACAACCTTCAATAAATTTCATTCTTATCATTTTATCGGTGGACCAACACACAAGATTACACAACACTTTTTCTGCCTCTAAAGCAAGTCCTTCGCCAAGATGGCCCTATTATTAATAATGAATAAGTTGGGGATTTATTTATTTCTTAATCTTTTAGTAGACATGATCGAACTATGTATATTGTTATAATATAGAATTATGTCATTTATTCTCTTTCAAACTGATTCTCTACTTCACTTGGCATTAAATATTGTATGTACATCATTTAGCAAAGACATTCCCAATTTCTTTCTATTTTCATTCTTATAATAGTATTACTTAGTATTCATAGTATTACTTCTTAGTATTACTTCTGAATAGCATATATGCATTTCTGTTATGAAATATCCTTTGCATTTATAAAAAACAAAATTTTGATTGAATTATCATCAGTTTGTAAAGTTTAGTTCAGTTGGGGCAATTTGAAAACTTTTAAGTACATACAATTAAACTTTACATTTAGGCATCCAAACAGATACTACCAACAAATTAATAAAAGGAAAGGGGACTACAGTTTGAAGCTTTCTTATACTCTAATGAAGTCACAAACTGGCAGCCCACGAGCTAGATACAGCCTGTTAAGGCTATATATCTGGCCCATGGCCTTGATATTCTTTTCTAAACATCAACGTTTGTAACATCTTGTGGATTAAAACGGAAAATATTCAAATGCCTAACTGTTTATGTAAATCATAAACAACAAAGATCTGGCAACAAAAGGGTCTTTGTTAGAGCCTTTTTTTAGTACAGTGTGTTTTGGTTCCCCGAATAATAGTGAGTACAGCCCATATCTGATATACATCTATTTGACTGGTTCTTTGCTGCATTTGAGTTTGAGACACCTGCTCTAATGGAAAGTCAATATATTATATCTTTATTCTGGTTTTATTTAACATTTTATTTTGAAGAGAAAAACAAATTTCTGCAGTTTGTGAAAAAGAGTTGTTTGTATACTGGCACAATGAAGTGACCTTCTTTATCAACACTTGGCACATTTTCAATCTTTATTCAGTTAGAATAAACTACTGAATAAAGATTGAAAACTTGCCAAGTGTTGATAAAGAAGGTCACTTCATTGTGCCAGTATACAAACAAATAACAACACGGTTTCAACAACAACAACAAAAAGAGTTGTTCCATTACAAGAGTAGACTGTCCTTTCGAGTTGATGGACGACAGTACTCAGTCAAAAGCATTGCTGACTTTGCTCAATTGTCCACTCTGCCCAACTGGCTAGTGTGGCAGTAATAGAGAGAGCTCGCTGTCAATGCCAGAATGGCATAATGTCCTGAAGATATGGCAATGTCTGGCATACACAAAAGATTGACTTTTTCATACTTCTCAGGTATGTTTTATCCCAATTTTTGACATAACTTATATTTACCAAAACACATTCAAAATTTAAATAAATATCTATTCTTTCAAATTAATCATTAACACCTCTATGTGAACTTATCCGAAATTATTTTAACATGTCCATATGAATATCTGTTAATTAAACATATTTTCAGATGTATACCATAATGATAATTTTATAAAAATCATTCACATAGATGTGTGAAAAGTTTTTGTTATATTGAAAATTGATATAAATCCCTAAATAAATGACATAAAAAACAAGTCGTGTGAGACCACCACACGTTACATCAGATGCAAATATACAAATATTTCAAAATCTGAAACACCTCCAGTCCCAAGCATTTCAAATAAATGATTCTCAGCATGTAACAGTAAAAATAACATTATTATTTGATTTAATGATGTACAAATAAATAAATGACATCAAGTTTATCCCTCTTACAAGCTGTATTTACCAACAGAGTAAAGAGCCAAAGTAGAATTTGCATTTATTTTACTTTAAATAGGCACTTCAACTTTGGCTATCAACTTTTTGTTGGCAAATACAGCCATTAGTAACCTTATCTTAGGTTAGCTTATCTGTCTAGACATGTCCACCTTACCTAACTAACCTACGTAAACATTTCATACTCCAATACAACTGACACACAATTCATGCCCTACCAAATGCTGCCAATGGAAAAAAATTCTGTTCATAACAACAGTAACTAGCCAAAAAATGAATGAATTCTGTGTAAGAAGAGTTATGATGTTACAACACAATTTGCAATTATAAATTTGATTAAACTAGCACACCAACTTCCCATGGTTACCAGCATATTGATCAATGTTCAAAAATATAGTAATTATAACAAAACAAACTGAATTATACTAATGAAAATAAACAATTACTATATGTCTACATAAAGATAAGAATAAACATTATAATATTGAGTTAAAACTTTGTTACTACATACAATTTTATCATCTTGTAATAAGTCCCACAGTAATGTCTGTCCAGGATTGCAAACGGACTCCAAATCAAACTGTCCCTGAACACCATCTCGACTGGAGCCACGATGATGAGGATACGGCTTGACACCATGTAACTGATGAGTATACATGCAAGCCATATTAGCTAACCTCTGGGTCATTGGATGAGAACCTAACTGAGCCTGCGCATGAGCTGCCAACTGAGCAAGTTCATCCTCACAACCAGACTCTTCGCCTTCAAAATCAGCCATATTTTTTTCTGATTTGTTGCTAACTCTTGAACTATTACAGCTTCCATCATCTGGACTAAGAATATCTTCAACCAGATCTCTAAAATTTATCATAAATAATTTAATAAAAGCAGGTTATTAAATTTTCACCCAAATAAAACTAGAAATATGAAAAATTACCCTGTTCCAGGAAGATGTCTTTGAGGATGTAAACTAGCTAAATATTGTCTGCATTCATAAATATCAGAATCAACACCTTCCGTAAATTGTGGAAGACCACCTTCCCTTTCTAAAACTGCTTTAACTAACTGTGGTAATAACTGAGGTCTGGTCATTGGACCACAAACTCTATTTGCAGCCTGTTCTTCTGATACTTCGGGAATACAACTCTTCTTATTATCTGCATCTGTTTCACCATCTCTGGATGTTCCGCCTGGATCGTCATCATCGTCGTCGTCTTCATCTCTACTTCCTCTTCCCGTTACATCTTGAATCACAGCGTGGGGCAATGGACTGCCTTTTTCCATACTATCTTCAGAAAAGTTAACCTCCATCACTGGTTTATTGTCAACTTTTCCTTTGTCACTTGACATTATCCTCGCTCTTTTCTTCCGAAGTATCTTCCTCCTCCATATATGTGATGGTTTTTCTCCATCTCTTCCCGAATCGTCCGATCCGACTGGTGAACATTTTGGTTTACGATAATCGGATTTCGAATCTGTACCTTCAGCAGGATCGGTATCACTCTGTAAACTATCATCACTTACGCTGCTCAATTCAGTGGCATCTGCACTTGATGCTCCGTCTTCTTTTTCAGTTTCACTCTGTTGATTCGTTTTTCTTTCAGGTCGTCTCCGCCTCCATTTCCGATTAGAAGACCTTTGGTTAGAAAGTTTTTTCTTATTTAGAGATAAATGCTGCTTACTATCTTCACCAGGACTACTCGGTTGACTATCGGCAGTATGTTCGCTTCCTTCTCCACTGCTTCTTGGCCGATCACTAACTTGAGAACTGTCAACCTAAATGTTTATAAACAACAGCTATTTTAATTATTCAAATTCTACATACAAAAAATATATTCACGTATCAATTTAATTAATAAACGTAGACTGTACAATATCAAATTTAATTTAAAAAATTTCAGTTGTTTCATTATTCAAAAAAAAATTATATTTAATGTGTTGCATGTTTTCATACATAATTATTATAAATGAATATTAAGTTTATTACAATATTTTAATGTATTTACATAAATTACAAAACAAAATTACTCTTATGGGGAACCTTAATTGCACTAAACTGGAACAATTTAAAAAAACAAGTAAATACCTTAGTTTTCTGGTAAAATAACAAATTTTATTGCTGAAAAACTAAAGTATGTTTGTTTGTCATTTAATAAAAAATCATGTAATATTGATAGAAAAAAAATCTTTGCATAAATAACACACAAAAATTACAAATATCATAATTCATTTCTGAAACTAAACTTTTTAAAGACTATCTAATTTCACATAAAATTTATAGAATTATTGAAAAATATAATGAAATAGCATATTAAAATTTTCAATTAATACTAAAGCTTTTATTATTATTATTCTAATTTAATAACAAAATCATAATCAAATACATTACCTCACTAGCTGTCTGTGCATGTCGCACATCATTTGGTTCATCTTCACTATTGCTAGCCTCTACACTAACGCTTCTCTCACTACTACTTAATTCATGTTTTCTACGTAATCCTATAAATAAAATTTAATGGTATTAAAACAAAGTAATTAATTTTATTAATATTTTTTGTAAAAGGACTATTTTTCTTACAAATTTTAAAATTAAAGCATATATATAGTAAAACCTCAAAAATTGAACACCTCTTTAACCTAGACAATTTTCTCTTTCACTGTGTGAAAGTGCAGGCATCATAATGTGTTCCTACCTCTCTATCCCAGACATCTTGCTATCCTGTATCTTGGACACCTCTTACTGCCACTGTCATATATTTGCACCTCTCTACATTACACACTTCTTGGTTATGGCTCCAAGTCAGATACTAAATGACACCTACTGACAGATGAAAGCATGTTCATTTGGCAATAGATGGCACACAGTGATTATTAATGTAAAGGGAGGGATTTGGAGGAAGAGAGGTTCAAGAATAAGACTGTCATCCACGAAGCTGTTCACACAAACAAAGTTTCATGACAGAAGGTATGCAGGCTATTAAAGTACAAGATCGCTTATCCTTTAAAATCTGAAAATCTAATATATCGACAAATTGTTAGGAGTTCATAAGTGTTCCAGTGACAATTCAGAGAATATTCTCAAAAATCTTATTGCAAAAACATCTGGAAATGCCATGTTGCATCAAGTGATGCATCAGATGATGCAGAACTAGTAGTAGTGGGAACAGAAAGTGCCAAACCATCAGTCTGCCCTCGTACCTATTACATAACTTGAACAATATGCATTCGCACAATTGCACATTGATGTGAAGAAGGTGTTTGAGATTAAGGCAGAAATATAAAAATAAACTGAGAATATCCAGACTGACACATCATCTCTCCCATGTAACAGAATTCTTTAACAAAAATAAGAACATATTTACTGTACAAATGAATATCTAAGTATATCTTCATTGATTGCAGAATCAAAATGATTATTTGGACTGTTTATTTTGAAAGTGGTGTAAGTCCATTTTTGGAAAAATTTGAGAAAACACATAATATAAATACAATTTAGTGTGAACTTTTTATTTATAAACAATTCACACTTAACATTTTAAAATAACCATAAGCTTTGATCAATTGAAAATTTATCGGTAAATGACATTGCATAACCATTGATTTTGAAAGTGGTGTAAGTCCATTTTCTACAGTCTAAGCACTTGGGCTGTCCATAAATTACATGTGCATTTTTCTTGAAATTTTCACTTCCCCCTCTTGTCCCAGTTTGTCCAAGTTTTTGTAACCCCTTTCCCTCTATGGATGTCTAACATAACTATATCCATTAAAACCTTCATCACTTTATGAATGATACATACCATAAGTAGAAATGAAACATACAAGAAACTTTGAAATGAACATAATAAAATGCATACTGTATAAAATTTAATAAAATAAATGGATGTCCACTAATACTCAACCCCCTTGTCTTAACCCCCTCCCTCTCTTTAAGTGTGGACATCATTTAAAAACAGCCCCTTACAACAGAGGAGTAAAACTATAAATATTCCCAACAAATCTACAATTTGATGGAATGGAAAAAATCCATGTAATGAATCTAAATGAAAAGCAGTGTCTAATGGTAAGCTCATAATAATGATAAATTTATCATAAAATAGTTTAACAATAAGTAAATATTTTAATGTTCAGAATAAACAATACTATTTTTATTATTATATATGAACAAAATCAGAATAAAACACAATGTGTTTCAAGTGAAATTGAGTTTTACATAATAGAAATTTAATGAATTTTACAGTTCAATAATTATGAAAGTGGTGTAAGTCCATTTATGGACAAGAAAGAATATATTAGTTTAGTAAGAATATATGTTAAATTCACATAGAAGTCTTTATGCAATCAACTTACATATTTTTAAAGTCATAAAAACATTGTCAAACTTAGTACCCTTTATTTATATTTTTGAATCAACTAAAATGCAAATTTTTAAATATCTCAAAAGAAGAAAAAATGAACTTATACCACTTTCAAAATAAATGGTCCATTTACGATCAAAATTAACATCTGGAAGAACAATATACTCACTGCAGCATATCAATATGTTTCTATGGAAAGTCATATTAAAATAATTAATATTAATGTAAAGACATCACAACTCATGCTAGAAGCTGGCTTAAATGATACTTTAATACTGTACATGTTACATAGTTCAATATTTGATCATTAAATTTTGTGATATTAAAAACGAATGCTTTTTTCTTATATTTAGCAAAACATAGGTGCAATAAATGTGGTATGCGTGTAGGTTCATACTTGTCTGCAGGACTGTTCACCTCTCTAACTGGACGCCCACTAATTTAGACATTTTGGATCCTCTCCACAGGTGAACAACTCAATGAGGCTTTACTGTATAAGCAATTTTGGTGTAATTGTTATATTTTGTTAATAAACAAACACAACTTTTTCATATAATTTAAGAGTTCTATATATAAAAATTTCATTTAAAAATTTGCAATTACTAACTTCAATCTCCATAAATTATACTTAATGTAGTGGCATAAGATATTAAACGTGAGCATAAAGTCTTTAGTTTTGGATGTTAAAAGAAATATTTTTGAAATTAAATCAATAAGTATATAAGATATCACTACAATTAAGGTCAGAATTTGTTTGTTCTGGAAATTTTTGGAATTCAATGGAATGTAGGACACTTTTGAATTTTAAAACTGCTGGAGTTTAGTTTTGTTTTTTTCTAATATACAATTTTATTGGTTTTACCCATAATTAGTCAGGAGGCTGGAAAAGTACTCAACACTTATTGGGCAAGATATTTTGTTGATCTCTATTAAAATGCATTTGCGTATAAACAAAAATATTTTCAAACTGAAGTTTTAATATGTAATTATTAAAATATATTAGAACTTTTTAGTGTTTAGTAGGAGCTAAAGAGTACTTATTTAAAATTTAATGTATTTTAATAATAATAATAATGTTTATTGATTTAAATTTAAATTTCTTACAATGGGGACTATTTGATTAAATCATGTTAATAAATGTACATACAATCCATAAAATAAATTAACGGAGAAATTCCAAAGATTTAGAGAAAAAGGAAAAAAAACTTAAATAAGGTGATTTTTGACATGACCTCGTTCTTCAAAAAATCACATCTGAACTCGTCTCCTAATATAGCACTTTTTAGTTGATATGTCACCTGACAGGATTCAAACAAATGAGTCAGAATTTCCTTCCTCTCTAGCACCACAATAACTACAGCACCCTTCACTGAATATATTTATTCTATAGCCTTTAAACAAAATCCGAAATTTATTTAATCTGAGTTGCATAATGAGACTTTTTGTGAGAAAATTAGTCTCACAATTCAAGTAACTTGCTGTACACCAAACCAAGCGTGATTCAAACAGATTAACTCGTTTAGCTGATATGGAAGACATATCCCAGTTCCACAACTGATCTGACTTAGTTTAAATTAGTGCATTTAAATGGGTTCTCAACAAAGAAGCTGAATGAGATAAAAATAAAAAGGAATAACCCAAGCCATCAAAAATATTTTTAACTGAAGCTGGCCAACTTTTCTTACCAGGTTTAACTGCTGTTAGCAATAGATTATATGTTATTCGACGCAAATCACATGAGGGTAACTCCATGACTTTTGACCAGAACAAAACAATATCCTTAACAAATTTCAGTTCCAACAGAACTTGAAACTGAACGTTCTATTTTAAAAAGTCTCTTAAAATATTTCATCTGTACTTTTTCTAAAATTTAATGTATTTAAGTGAGAACACTTAGAAGATTTGAAAGAAAAAAAAATCTAAATTTTATCATAAACAAAAATTCAACTTTATAAAAACTCCAGTAATAAATTTAATAACGTGAAAATGTTTTCAACCAAATTAACAGGTCTTCTTCAGTTACCAAAGTAAGGAATACAAAGTTTGAACAAAAAGAAGAAAAGATCTTGTTCAAACTTTGTGTTCATTAACTCAGTAACAGGAGACGACCTGTTAATTTGGTTGAAAACATTTCCACATTATAAACTTATTACTGCAGTTAATAAGGTATGAATTTTCATTTAGGGGCATCTTTTCCTCAGGTTTTTACTTCTCTTTCAATCTTTTCAATCTGCTTGAACATCACAGAAATAATTATCAATTTTAACACAAACTATCAGAGGTGTCATTTTTACCAATAAACTAACTATTTACTAAAAATCTTCTAAACTTCTAAAAGAAGTTCCTTGAAATTTTATGTAATGTAAGTAAAATTTTACAAAATTGGAAAATATAACTTTGTTTTGTAGTTATTTAGCTATCTTTAAAAGAAGAAGGAATTAAGTCTCATCATTTTTTATTGCAATAGGATATTTTTAAAATACCACTAAAAGCTGGAAAATAATATAATAACTCATAGACATCCATACTTACTCCAGCAGGTACATTTATTGGAAAAATGAATACTTTTGATCACTTTTAGAGACCTTTATGAAGTTATTCTACATTTCAGTAAATCGAATGAGATTAAACAAAAAATTTTAAAATGGAACAAAAATCCAATCACCAAGTGGTCCAAAAACTTTTTGATTAATTGCATTCAATTTACGAAAACGTAATAACCCAACAAAGGTCTCTAAAAGTTTGTTTTTTTCAATAAATGTACCTGTTGGTATAAGTATGAAAGGTGTCTGAGTTATACAATATTTTTGATACACTAAGAGCAATTGAGAAGCTGCCAAAAGTATTCATCTCACACTGACAAGCAATGCTTTCTATTCAAAAAGTTGGGCAGCAGTAATTCAATTTCTAATGGTAATTGTTATTTGGATAAACATCACTAGTTACTATATATTTATGTAATGCATACTGTTTAATATCAAGCATACATACCTTTTGCAAATTCTCCCATGTGCAATGCACCTTTCATTAGAACTGAAAATGGGCTGTTTGTTGCAGAATGATCTATATCAGTTCCTCCTCCTGGTATATTTGTAGCACTTCCTCCATTGGTCCAAATAAATTTAGTTAAAGCAGATGCTAAAAGTAGTGTCTAAATAGCAAGTCACATAATTAAATAATTTTATAAATTTAAAATTTATTTATTTATTATTACTTTATAAACAAACTTTATCCAAAAGTACAGGCAAACAAGTCAAATACTATCAGATCTCTTGGGCTGTAATTCTGTGATTTTTAAATTATTAATATTTGACACTAGAGATAGTGCTGTCATCTCTCATTAAATTTAATAACAAGAAATAATTTGATTGATTAGTTTAGAGCATCTGGGAAAAAAACTGATCCAGAATATATTTGACAGTTTGATTGATTTGATGGGATAAGGTATCAAACATCAAGAACAGTTCTTTTGGCAAATTTGATATGTCAAAGCTGCCTCTTGGGAGAATTTTGTATGGGAAACTAACCCCTATTCAAAGTATTATACACACAACCTTATCAAGTACATTACTTAAGAAAATACAGACCAGATTACTCAACACAAAGAGAAACATTCAGTAGTTTTCCATGACTGAAATTTTAAAAGCTGAAGAAGCAGGGTTTGCTGACTTTAGAGCTGAAATCTCAAACACTAGGAGAGCATCAATCTAACCATTTATCTTCCACATTAACTCAAATCTACATATATCGATCTCATGTAAAAAATGTAGTGAATATTTTTGACAGTACAATGTAACCAAATTTTAGAAAATACTAAAACTTTGAACTGTTTTCTCTCTCTCTCTCTGACACTGAACCTTAACATAAATTAATGTAACTTTGCACATTGTCTTTTTATAAGAATCATTTATCCTAATACAAACATTTGGCTTACATATCTATACAGTCCTTTTGGTTATTATTTGTTCCAGTGTACTGTACATACGCAAACCATACTGATGCAAAAATTGATGTTAACTGAGTGATACATACACTGAATTACAATTAGTGAAACAAATAAATCTGTGCACCAGTGTGTATATACAGTAGATATATATACAATAGAGTATCGATTATCCGAAAGCATTCCAGTCAGACTGTGTTGTGCTGAATCAAATGTTTTTGATACTAGATTAACATCTAAAGTATAAATTTTTTATTTTTCAATATATTTATTTTGTTTGTACAAAATAAAGAAATAATTTTGAACGATACAATAGCCATGAATATTATTATAAAAATTTTCGTTAGACTTAATGTTGATGAAAATTCAATGTGAAGCGACATGCAATGAAGAAAAATTTAAACACGGGATATATTAACACACTATTATTGTGATATACTAATATACTATATTAATAATGTATTTTTTCGTACATAATCGGTTATCTGAAAAATCAATTTTCCCAAACAATCCCAGTCCCCAATTGATTCGAATAATCGACACTCTTTTGTATTAATATTCTATAATTTAGAATAACTACACACATATGAAATCAAAAGCTGAAGAAATAATTCTGGTGACATAATTGGTAACATATACATCCAGTATGAAGAGGTAAATAGTACAAATCTCATTCCAAGTCAGTATTTTCTTCTAGATACTCTAAATTAAATTTAATTCTTTCAAATTATTAAATCTAAGATAAAAATGGCAATATCATCTTGCTGCATTCTAATTTCACATTTTAATTAATAATGAATTTTAAAATCTGCAGCTTAAAAAACAAATAAAAATTACAGCAGTTTTTGCTTATTAATATCATGACATTTACCTGTTCAGTATGTTCTTTTGGTTCCATGCTGCACAGAAGTTTATATAAATGAAGAACAGGTCCAACTTCTAAATTCTTAATTAAGGGCGGTAGCAGATCTAGAACTTGACGACTACAATGTTTCAACTGTGCTGCAGACCAAATGGCATCTATGTGCTCATTGGTTATACGGCCTTCCATTGCCAAGAAATTTAAGAGGATGTGACTTTGTTTAATTATCTAGTTTATGAAAAAAAAATTGTAAGTATACAACTTTATATTTTTTACAAATTTTAAAATTTATGTATCACTCACTTCTACATGAAGATTGGGTCCAAATATATGTTCAGTTATTTTATTTTCGGTTAACCAATTTGCAAGAGCATTTCCTACTCCTTCAACTTCAACGAGACTTTCATTATGGCATAGTTCATTGTACATATTAATGTGACTCTAAATTTAATATTTCAAGATTTTATCATCATTCTACATGTAACATATAACATTAATTATAAAGAAAAATCAATATATTGGGTTGTTCGGAAAGTAATTTTGTTTTTTCCACGGAAAAAAACACAATATTTTTATAATAAATAAATATTTTATTGAATTATATATCTACCATTTTGGTCAAATACCTGTTATCATTTCTGGTAGTAGCATGATTTCACATTCATAAAAGTTTTGATCATTGCTTACAAAAAACTGATCCAAGTGATTTTTGACATTGTCATTTCAAGTAAATGTCTTACAGTTAAAAAAAATTGTACAGACCGGAACAAGTAATAATCTGAGTGTGCTCGATCTGGCGAATATGGTTGGTGTGATAGCACGTCCCATCTAAGTTATAACAGTTTCTGACGAGTTACCGAACTTGTGTGAAATTTGACATTATCGTGATAAAACACTACACCTGTTTTGTTAATCAATTCTGGCTGCCTTTTCTATTTGATAATATTACTTAATTTGTTTACTCGATGGCAGTACACTTTCGAATCAATTGTTAAATTGTCTGGTAAAAGCTCCAAAAAAATTTTCCTTAAAATCCCACCAAAAAGAGCATCTCTCTTTAAGAGCATGTGGAACCCATATATCAAGCTTTGAAACAAAACCAATTTGTTTCAAGTAATCATAAACAGTTCAATTTGACAAATTTCATCTCTTAGTGATTTCAGGTGTTGTTATTTGGCAGTTTGTTCAATCAGTACTTTTATTTTGTTTTCATTGGCTTCAACTAGCCATCCAGAATGTGGTGCATCTTCAATATTGAAATTGCTAGAATGAAATTTTGTAATCCAGTTTTGGCACTGTCTTTCTCTCAACACACCATCTCCATACAGGTACCACAATTTTTTTCTTGCTTGAACAGCATTTTGATTTTTTGGTAATAAAAAAGCAAAATATGCCAAAAATGATGCATTCGATCTTCTATATTTGATGGGACACAAAAAATAAACAATTGCACAAAATCAAACCAGAATTTTTTACAAATAAGCCTTAAAATGCTGGCTGTCAAAATATATAATAATAATATGGTTTAGAATAAAAATGGCGGAAAATATATGACTAATTTTTCTAGTGGTAAAAAAAACGAAATTATTTTCCAAACAACCCAATAAATTATTTTAATCGCAAATTTAAAATTTATAATTACTACAGAGCATCATAATTGAAATTTCTCACACAAATTTCTCAGTAAAATCTGTAATCTTTAGAACAAAAATGACACAAAGTTTTATTAAAAAGTTCTACTATATCACTAAACCAATTAACCCAGCATTAAAGAACAACTCACTTTGGAAAGCAAAGCCCATCTGTATTTAATCTAATTAGAAATGTGAAAGATTTGCCAACCTGGTAATACTTGTAGTGGGCATATTCCATCCCACTTACAAACCATAGATCCAACAAAGAATTAGAATACATAGGATCCACATGTCAGCACATTACCGCCCGTCTAAAGAAATACCGACCAACATACCAAAAAACCCATTAACCACTGCCCCGTCAACATATGCCAGGGGCCCAAAAGGTGGAAGTCCACCTCAATCAGACAAAAATGCTATGAAGAATAGCAGATAGATCATACATCAGATATCTGGAGTTAATGGAGATCTACAAGGCTGTCTCAAGAAAAAAAATCCATCAACTATAAAGAGGATAGCGCATTCCCAAACACATGGAAAACATATCAATTCAACAGAAATATCACATTCCATGCAATATCCTAACTATAACTTTTCCATCCAATTAGTGACAGTCAACCATCTTCCAATCAGCAATGGCAATGTAGAGATTAAAATACGTTCAAAAATTGCACAATTTAAATTTAGAACACCAGCCTAAAGATGTCCTTTTAAAAATGGATGAAAACATCTGCTTTCCAAAGTGAGTTGTTCTTTAATGCTGCTTTATTGGATTAGCAACAGAGTAGAACTTTTATTTAATATTAACCAGTAATTGGTTGTTTTATAACACAAACTTTTAAATAACTTTTGTTATCTATCTTTAAACAGAACAAAAAACAAATTAATATGATGGTAAGTAATATAAAAAAAAATCAGCAACAAGTTGCTCAACTTTTCCGGCAACATTTAAAATTTTGGTGGCACCATCTGTTGTCATATTTATTAAAACTTTTTTATATTTTTAACTATTATAAAATGGCAAAAAAATTAATTTTGAGAGTAGAGATGAGTTTTATTTAAAAAATTGTAAATGCTCATAAAGACGAAGAATAAAATCACACTTTCCATCTACAAAATACATTCTCAACTCATTAGTTTCCTTGGTTTTACTATGTTCCACTAGAGAACAACATTATATATTAACCTCCATAACACTCAAATAAAAACAAAGCAAATATATAATACATCAAGCGAGAAATTTTTCAATGAGATTCCTTAAGTCCTCTTTAGTTCTGCCTTGCACTAAACCCTTTATCTAACACATTGAACAAAACAATATGGTTACAATATCAGATGCAACAAAACAACCCAGTTCAGGTTATCACACCTCACGTACATGGATGATATCAAACTTTGTGTGTCCACACAAAATTAGCTTTTTTATCGCTTACACACACACACACAAAAATGCAAAACACTACACATTGAAAAAGGAATTCTGAAGAAAGGAGACTGTGGAAATATGGTTCAGAAGTGGAAATATTATTGAATCCAAGGAAGAGGAAGAGTTTTACAAATACTATATTTAGGATTCTAACAGGCCAAACTTACAGAACATGCTCAGATAAAACAAAGATTAATGGTCAAATACCAGAACAGATTACTAAGAATATTTAAATGCAAAATATACTATTAAAGCTATTAATTCATATATTATCCCTGTAATCCTCATTCTTTGGAGTCATACACTGGAGACACACAGATCTTGAGCAACTTCAAAAGAAAACAAGAACAACACTTCCTAAGCATAAACAATATCACCCAAAATCATCTGAAGAAAGACTAATTCTTCCTCATAAAGAAGGTGGCATGGCCTGACTAATATAGTTAATCTGCACTACAAATAAATTCTTAAACTGCAGGAGTTTTTCCACAAAAACAAAAATCATCAAGATTACATAAAGCTATAAATCTGCATAAAGCATAAATCTGGCAGACAGTAATTACATGCTTTAAACTTAGCACCTGGACATACACACAGCTGGAGCACTTCTAATTTCGTGCTCTCCCTGAATAGACCGGAATGCCAGTCATTGCATAAAAATAAGTACTCTATAGGCAGTGTACAAAATATACAACAGAGCAATAATCACAGATAAAACAATTCATCACAAAAGACCTGACATCACCCTCATGAAGTAAGATCACTTATATAATAAACATCGCCATTCCAAAAACTCATAACAGAGCAAATGCACACACTGAAGAAAAATCAAGTACACTCCAATTGCTCAAGAAATAAGACCGATGTGGAGGATGGATAATAATGTGTAGTGTATGTGGTATAACACCAGTAGAAGACAGGATAACAGGTATTTATTGTATCTGTTATCCTATCTTCTACTGGTGTTATACCACATACGCTACACAAAAATCTAGAAGCATTAAACCTTAATAACATATATATGGCACTACAGAAAGCCACAATACTGAACATATGTCACATTGTTAGGAAGTTTTTAGATGTTGACACACATAGACAACAACACAGTTTAATGTTACACTTGTTTGGGTAGCTATGATTTGACTTTAGTATGGCATAGCATTTGGCACCAGTATTAGTTGAGCATGACATTCGCAACATAATAATAATAATACATCTCGTTTTGTCTAATGACATTTTGTACACATGAACTTTTGTCCATGAGATTTTTGTGCCTTGTAATCTTTGAGCTTTTGTCTTGTGGATTTTTATCACATAAATTTGTCATATTATCATAAGAAATCATCATCACATTAATTGTAATAATTGGATACGGACACAAAACTAATTATGTCCATATACAAAAATTATTATATATAAAGTTTAATGGAAACTACAATAGAATAAAATTTAGTCATATCACAAAAAAAAATAATAAACTCAACCATCTTCATGTATTTTTCTCTTGTATAAATAGAATTATTTTAAAATAATTTTGATTAAAGAAGCTAATGAAGGTAAATAATTTATTTAAAATTCACATTTTAATCTACCATTAGATCTTAATTACAAAATAAATGTATATAAATTTTTATATTCAATGTAGATTATCCTATTATTGCAAAAAAATAAAATACTTACATTTATCTGAGCTATTCCAGCTAATCGCATCGTTAAAGTAGTACTACTGAAATATTTGAAAGCGAGGTCTAATCCTTCTCTATCAAAACTTGCGTGTGCATCTAGCGGATCTTTCACCGCCGTCCACATAAATTCAAACATGTTTCGGCTTCCCGTGATTCTTAAATCCGAATCGGATACTTTACACAAATATCTATAAATAGGCACAATAAAATGCTTTAAACTACAGAATAAATATTTTGAAATTGTGTGTATTTGTATCTATAAACAGATACAAAAAAACAAAATTTCTAAGTTACTTCATAGAGACTTTACAAATAAAAGAAAACAATACCTTATTACACATGATCTAAGAGGAACTAGATGTTGCATTATGGAACCAATATTCATCCATAATTTCAACTAAAAATTGATTTAATCATTAGCAGTCATCATTTAAGCATTATCAATCATCATAATTTGATTAAATCAATTGATTTAATCAAATTATTTATTATAAAATATGCAATATTAACTTACATTAGAAATTACAGCAATCATTGCATGGGCCACAGTCATAGGTAACAGAGTCGGAGATGCATCTTGAAAACAAGTAGTAAATAACTTCAAACCACCTCGTTCACAGAAAAAGCACACATTTCGAAGTAAATAAACAGGAATATCCATATCCTAAATTCAACAAATATTAAGATTTAATTCAAGAATGCATTTTTAAATAAAAATCTTATTTATATTTTAAGAAACAAGTCATAAATTCAATAGAATAAAACTAGTAAATATTATAATATTGTAGGATAATATTCCAAAGTATATGACAATAAATAATAATAATTTATTTTTATGACAACTGCTTTTTGAATTTTATATTTATATGAATTATTGGGCTGTAATTTTCAAGTTGCAGACCTGTAATTCCCACTGTCATTTGTCTGTCCTTCATTATAATAAGTGCAATAATCATTAGGACAAGACGCTTTGAGTACATGTACTTCATTAATATTGAGAACAGAATTAAATATATATAAAAATAGAGACCAGATATGGAAGACTTTGGAACTACAGGCCTCAAGCAATTATATATGAACTTTCTGTCTGAACCAAAAATTGTGTGATTCTGATTTAAAATTTCTTGAGAATGGAATTAAATAGCTGAATGGAATGACTTATCAGATGAATTATGATGTACAGAGACAAGACACCACTAAAATCCCAATCATATATGAAAAGATTAAAGGCCAGAGACCCAAATTAACTATATACAAACTTCCTGTCTGAACCAGAAGGCATGTGGATTATCTTAAATTAAAAGATGGTTAAAAACTGTTGCTAAGCATTGTGATGATGTCACATTAAATAACTGATCATTTATATCTATCTAATCATTAAAATCAGTAACAATGTATGCCTATGGTATAGAACTATCGAATCATTGAATAACCTAATTATCGCATGATGATTAATCTTTTCACTATAGGGCTACTAAATTTTCAGACTTTTTAGATTGGCTACTACAGTATATTTTTGATTATAAGAAGCACCTTTGCCATACTTTTCAAAACCACTAACTGCTCTACTTTTAGACCCTACTGATAAAATGCTCAAATTGATATAAAAAGAAAATTTGTGCAAATGAATGTTCTGTTGAAATTCCATTGTGCTTCTACTTGTACAAAATGTCTTAATATAGTACCTATAGAGTAATAAAATATGTAATTACTGATATCCAGCATGAATTAGATTTAATTAAATGAAAAACAAATGTTTTCCTCTGTTTTTAATGGTCATCATCAGGTTTAGAACTAATAGAATGTGTGTTTTAAAAAAATGAAAATTTAAAACTTTTGAATGTTGTGAAAATACACATATGCTCAATGTTGCATTTAACAAGGTTCTTCAAACTGGATAACAAATTTAAAAAATACCTGGTTTATACAAAATATAAAATCCAAACTTAATTCAAGACCTATTGTAAGTCAAAGCATGCCCTCCACATGGTTGCTAGTGAGTCCATTTCCTTAAAATTAATTGCTGTCCCTCTTTTATATGCTTTGAATATTTCTAGTCTTTCAAGATATTTCAGGTTGGTTGGATCATCTGGGCATCTTCAAATTTAACTTGCACATCATTATCAACAGCAAAAGAAGTTAATATGGTAGTGAAAAGAATCTTCTGAATTGTGTATTTGTGCTCCTTTATCCTCATTTTTAGACCATGAGCAGTAACCCCAATATATTCACATGGATAGTTCAACCTATGATCATGTACAGAGACGGTATAGACTCCCAGGATGCAATTTCTCTCTAATTGGTCCTTGTTATTTCTAGTACTAGAAAAAAATTAGGAGACCTCATGTAAGTGATCCTGTTACTCATAAAGCAGGATATTTCCTTGTAGATGCTGGTAAGGACCTTATTATAAGTAACAAGTAAAAAGGACCCGTCTTCCTATTGTAATGGTTCAGCTGGATGTTCTTGTCATATAATAAGAGCATTGATAAAGTGTGAGGGTATCCATGTTACCTGGCTATGCTTGAAATGTAATCCAGCTTTATTTTCCTATCTTCTGCCATCAAATAATGGGTGTAAGCCCTTCTTACAAGGACCTTAAAGGTGGAGATCTTATAGTTGAAAGGATCATGCAATTTTGCATGGATGAAGAGTGGAGCATGTGACTTTTTACAGAACACCTTTGTTCTCAACCGACCATGTTTTAATGTAATGTCTATGTCAAGAAATTGAACCGAGGTGCAGTTTTGTTGCTCTACCTGCAAAGAAAGGTTGTAAGCATTTTTTATTTAATTAAACCTAATTCATGCTGGTTATCAGTAATTATGTATTTTATCACTTTTTACCAATAGTTTAGAGGCAATCGTACCTGTACCTATTGAATAGTTTCAATCTAGTAAACTGTCTAGAACTGAAACTTTTTTGGCATAGGGAGTTGCGCCCACTCGTTGAGGAGTGAACTACAAATTTTAGACAGTTGCAAAAATTTAGAAAAACTAAGTACGATATATAAAGGAATGTGTTGCATATTTGTTTATAATAATTTGTTGATGTTTGGTGTGTTAAAAAAAAAACACGTAAACTTTAGCTTACACCCATTCAGAGGCTTGTTTTGCATCATATATTATAAAGGAGAGTCATGAAAACTTCTTTGTAAAATGAGGGTCTAAAATTTTTTTTGTTGTAAGGGATCACGGATAAAAAGTTTATGAAATTCTGACTTAGGGCAAACCTTGTTAATATTTCTACAGATAAAGGATGTAAGTATAAAGGATCAAGATGAATGTATGATAATTTTAAGTGAAATACAATAATTTCAAGGAACAGATACGATGATTTTCTCCCATAAGGTTGACAACACTGCGTTGTCTTTAAGTAAGAGAAAATCATGTATGGAAAAGTGAGAAAAGTCAGAACCCTTTTCCATAAGAGAATCAACACACCGTAACTGACAAAAATTTATAATTTCACTAACATTTTCAACATTTCTACAGTATCATCTTCAAGTGCAAGGAAAGAGTCAATATATTAAATATTCTTACCAAAAGAAAATAGATCAAATTTCAGTATTCTTAACAATTTTTTAAAATGTAGAATAAACAAATATCTGTACACATACTCCATATTGTTTAATATTACAGAAAGCCATCATATAAGCCTATCACTGGAAAATACACATTTTGTAAGGAGATAAACAAGAAAAACATCAACGTCATAAATTTCCCACATCAATCTTTTTCCCCAAAGTCCTGCTAAAAACAATACATCTAGAATCCACTGTATCTGTAATAAACAAGTAAACGGCAAGGCTGATTTTTGGGACAAGACTTTGTCTCAGAGACTCAGGGCTCGACGCGATCATTCAATTTTCGGTGAAATTAACCTATCCAATATCAAAATTTCTGTTCGTTGTGTGTCGCCCCAGGTTGAATTTTTGTCAATGCCTAACAAAAATTTCCCGTTTTCAAAAAAATAATCGTGGCTATTGTATCATCCAAAATTATTTTTTTATTTTGCACAAACAAAATAAATATATTAATAAATGTAAAAACAAAAAAAAAATTATTTCAGAAGTTACTTTTAATATACAATTATAACAACTAGCACCATCTAGTTTCCAAAACGTTCCAATGCTGAAACAAGATATCTCAGATCAACTGGTCTAGGTCAGCAGGTTGCGACCAGAGAGGTAAATGGGTTTTTTCAAAGATTCATTTGTCAAAATTCAATTTTGCAACATTTGCATTTCCCAACAATATATGCATGCGCAAATCTCACTTTTGCCTGTTTGTAGAAAGATGTCACCATTTTGTACTTTATTTTGACTCAGTTCTTGATCTCCTGAGTACCTACAAGTCTGATTTTTTTTTGTGCATGCATGATTTGGAAACCTAATACTCTGCCAAACTGTAACTCCTGACATGTCCCCCTTATACCTCTAAAATGTGGACCCATAACAGCACTGCAATTTTATAAACAAGACATACTCTTGTCAATAATGGTATTCACAATAGCAGCTTTTCTTGATAAACCAACTTTTACAATTTTCATAAGTCACAAACACAAAAGCTTCATTTTTCTTTACCTCATTTGCATAGGCATAGGTCTTTTGCAAAATCCAACAGCACAATGGAAAACTGCCTCTCAGCAATATTCACCAAATGTCAAAATTCACCAACAGAGGAATTACTGTCATTTTTGAAATTTACAAAAATGGCATAGTTATTACACTAAAATATTGACTGATATAAGCAGTCCAATAGAAATGAAATGAGGATTACATGTTTTTCTACAGACAAGTTAAAAAAAATTGAAATTTATTTTTTCATGCATCTAAGCTTCAAACATAAAATCCTGCATCTCTTAAGCCTGGTACTCACATGCAGAAATGGATGACGGAAGCCGTCAATGGAAACGATTGCTGTTCCATCGTCTTTCCGTGTCGTGTGTACTCACATGCAGAAATTACCCTACAATTGAAACACACCGTCTGCCAGCCATAAATATAAACAAGCTACTACAGTAGGTAGGCCACGTGCCAGTAGTCGAAAATGGCGTCTACCAAAATTGCTTTGTTATATCAATTAAACTTTTTAAGTTTGCCTTCGATCTTAATCGCAAATAAAAACTCAAAAATTAATAAATTGGATAGGAAAAATATTCTAAATCATCGAAAATTAGGAATATTGAATACTTTTGTCACCAAATTACGATTACTCCATTCTTAACACTTTATGCAGTAAGTAAGTCTGTTTGACATTAATATTTAAATCAGATAGTAATATAGCATATAAATGAAATATATTAGTATATTAGTGTACAAATAAAGCTTTTTATCTTGCTGACTGCCATAGTTCGAATGCTATTGTCCCATGTGATCTTATGATGACATTGCTAAATGGCCTTCCTATTGGTCTAACTTTTGCCGCTCCGCTTTCCACCATGGCAAAAGTTGAAAATTTTCAACTTCATATTCCGTTGGCTTCGACAGCAAAAGTTATGTCATTTTGCCATTCCATCGACAGTTTCTGACATCCGTTGTCGCATGAGAGTACCAGGATTTACAGAGACATGTAAGATCAAATAACTATCAAAAAATAATTAACAAATATCCAAACACTGATTATTCAATAACCTTATTGCTGTACTTAATTCTGATATGTAAGATAAACTTGCTATTTTGTGTATTATTACTGTAATCAAGCGGTCGTCATTGTTTCCATTTTTGTCACTAGAAAACACTGACTTTTCCATGATCATTCCATTGGCATACATGTTAACAGCTCACATTTTGAACAATTTTCCGTTCTAAAAGTGAGAAAGTTTCCCATCATAAATAGCTCTATTTACAACTAAACAGCCTTTCTGATTTATAATTTTACATTTTATGCATTTAGAAAAAAGCACTACAAATTAAGTATTAATTATATAAAAACTTACATTTACATCACAATAATTATTTAATGTAGATACTTCTTCTTGAGAAACTTCCTACAAGAAAATAAAAGTAAATATTAACTTTAAATGTTTAAAATTTAATGTATTTATTCTATTTATTCATTCTTGTTTATTAAGCTGATATAAAACTTCTCTATTAACAGCAATATATAAGTGTATCAAAGAACAGCATATTCTACAAATGACACATACAAACACCAAGCTTGCTCATATGATACGATCAAAAACAATATGTATGGCTAGTAGAGTTAGAGAAAGCCCTCACTGATGAGTCAAAGAAAACAGGATTGCCATTTTGTCAAATTGCCTGTCATCTGGATAATTCTGACCTGACTGTAGAGGTGTTGGGGATAATGGATACATTAGAACACACACTTGTATGTGGCAGGCAGGCTCTGGTCATACCAGACAGACCATCAGGAGAGATGACTATATAATCACAAGCAAGCACCAATAGCTACAACAGCATCTTTGTCCACCATCCAATAGATGCAAACCTTGCTATAGAACCCTGTACCATTGGTAGACTAGACTAGAAGAGGCAAATTTGCATGCACGACAACCGTTACATATTCTGCCATTAGCTTTGTTTTCAGCAGTGCCTTGACATAGTAGCATGGCCTGTTACAGACTGTCTTCAGCAACAATCCTGGTTCTGTTTGGGAACAAATGACAACCACGTTACTGTGAAAAACCACTCATGAATGCTTCAATCCTGCCTTTATTGTCAATTGGCACACCATCCCCACTGCTGGTATTCTGGACTACAGAGCCATCTTGTATGGCAATTAGCCACTCCTAGTATTGGTGCAAGGAATATTGAGGAACAGCAGTACATTCAAGAAGTCTTGTGTTCTCAAGTGTTGCCTTTCATGAGTGTTGCAAACAGCTATTTTCTAGCAAGATAATCACTAGCTACACAGAGCTAGGTTTCCTACGAAGTCTCAGTCACATTGCACAATTGCTTGGCTTGAACAGTCTGCAGATTTATGCCTCAAATATTTGTAGAGCCACATGGGATGCCATCTCTCAGTCATGTATAAGGAATCTGAAACAGCAGTTGCAATATCTGTGGACAAATCTGTCATAGGAGAGCATAGTGTTTACATACCTCTATGGTCAAATGTATTGCCACATATCCAGCAAGAGTCAACAAAGTACTAAAAATTCCTTTAAATTGTACCACTGTTTCACAGGAAATTGTCTCTTTGCTATGATATTATAATTACAGGTAGCCCTCAGTTTACGCCACAGTTCTGTTTCTACAAAAGCTGGCACAAATCAAATTGGTGTAAAATGAAATTTTACAGTGAGGTATAGGGTTAGGTTCTACATAAGCAAACAATTTTGTTTATTAATACAATATAATACAAAATACATATAAATTTTTAATTTTTAAAATGTATTTTATCATAAAATAAAGTGAAATGTTTTTATTAAAAAATTTTAGTTTCGGATCTCTTACATTTTCTGGAAAAAAGTATCCATCTTTAATTGTTTACATTTTTGTTTTCTTTCATCGAGAATTTCAGAATATGGTCGAATGGATGTGATGATGCTCCTTTTTACATTTGCACTTCGCTCCCAATTATTGTCTAATTCACAAAGTTCTTCCGTCAAACTTTCCATAGTTGAAAGGATACGCTAACCCGAAATAGAGCTACAGACAAGCGGAGACGCTGGTTGGTTGATCGCCAGCCACCATAGCACATATATAAGATCAGTTTGGGCAAAAAAATTGAAGTTGGTTTCATCTTGCTAAGGAGAGTTAGATATCGTCTGACCAACGAGAAGTAGATTTCGTCTCATTAACGATAATTTGTGATTGCCGGAAGTGCTACTGCATCATAAGGTATTTTCCTGAACAAACTGATATGGGATACAAACTATTCGCATTCATTAGTGCTCTGATTCAAACGACATTTATTGGACTATTAAGTTTAATAAGTTGACTCGTGGGAACTTAAATGTTTAGTATTTTAATATTAATTTAATGCAAATGTATACATACCCAATAATATTAAACAGAAAAAATATTTATTCAATAAAAATCTTTGTTTTAGTGAATGTACAATGTTGTGGCTCAGTAAATACTGTACATCAATACTGAAACAAAAATCAGTCTGACATAGGGAAAATCGGGGAATTACACCACAAAACAGCGAATCGGCATAAATTAAGCTGGCGTAAACCGAGGGCTACCTGTACCTATCACCATTGTTATTACACTCACATTAATAAAAACTTATTCAATTCAAATGACTAATCTCTGGTGCAGTTGTATAAATTTTTAAAAAAATATTTAAAGTATGAATATAAAAGTATTAAAAAATTTAAAATATAATAGTAGTATGTAGATGACTCAGCTACTAACAAAACTTAAAAAAAATATTGATTTATCATCTTCAGACTTAAAATTACTTTAACATCAACTCATTGTCTTTGGATAAAACAATAAAAGTTTGCTCTTTTGCCTAAAGACAATAAGTTAAATTTATTGAAAATATTAATAAAATTACAAGTAAATGAAATTCATTGACAATTTCAATTTAAAAGTTATTTGTATTGGGCCTTTAGATTAATTAACTAACTTCATATTCGCATATTCTTTTAAACTTCCTGCACTTAAAAACAGTCTGTTTCTAATTATGAAATATATTCATTTAAGGAGTTGGAGTTGGAAAATATTTTGCAGATGTCAACTTCTTAGACCACCAACTCCTGCTGACAGACTCCCCACCCCTATAAAAGCTAGTTATATCAAGAAAATTAATTTTAATTATCTCCACTGAAATAATTTTAACAGTAGTTTCCATACAAATTACCTTTCAATGTAATTAAAAAACAATCAATCAATCTCTTCCAAGTAAAAACTTTATCTTCATTAACAATAATTAAATCAATGTATGCACTTTTATTAATGTAAAGGTCTGCTATGAAAATCAGACATAAAATTCGCATTTGATATCCACTTTAACTGAGTAAAGCAAATGTATTTTATTCTAATACATATGGAAACAATTCAATCTCTTCCAAATGTTTTTTAGTAAAATCTGAGATCTTTCTTTGAACAAATTTTCATCAAATTTTATCTTACATTTGTGACATTGTATCTTTATATTTGCATACACATTGCTAAATTATTAGGTTCTCTACAACAAAAACATTTTAGAGATTTAGGTTGACCAATCTTTATTAATCAACCTTGACCAGTATTAATACCATCTTGAGCATTGTTTTTGCAATCTCTAAGATTACATTTATGCAATCCAACCTTATTTACTTGACTTGCATTAACCATGCAAACAAAAGTTGTATCTTTTGCTATGGTTTCCATAGCAATGTTCCACAGCTTTGTTGAGCAATCTTTATGGGTGGAAATAAAGGCTAAAGCAATTGTCTGAAAGCAACTTTCTTTGTGTCTGTTAGCTAAATAACACACACACAAACTTGTCTCATAGATCATCACTGAGAAAAACTTCAAATTCACATTTCCTTGCTAGATGATGCAGTTCCACAATGTATGCCACAATAGATTCATCCTTTTCCTGACTCAATAAAACTTGCTGCCAAATCTTTCTGCAATTACTAAGGGTTTCAATTCATAATAGTTCTGTAACAACTGCTTCAGTTCAGCATCAGACCTTGTGTTTTGTGTGTCTGGTGCTGTCAAATTTCTGATAATCCCATATATTGCTAAACAGACTAGTCACTGAAGTAGCCACCTGAATAACCTTAGATCTTATTTATCAATCCGATTGTTCCAAGTAATAGTCCAAGCCTTCAACTTTAAATCAAAATTCTCTTACACTGCTAATGAGTCCTAATTCTAACCATGGTATTCCAAGTGTTCAAACAGTTTATTGACCTCCAACAAATTCATTTAATGGCCAAGTCATAATATAAATATTCAAATAATAAACAACATTTGCTGAAAAACATTCTAGATTTAAGTAAATATGCAATTAAATTGCTACATTCAACAATCTCTACTTTAGGGCCCATCAGACCTAATGCACAGTGTGATCGTAAGTCACTCCACAGTGGGCCACACCCTGCATGGCTCAGCCCAGTGTTGATATACAGTAGAACCTTGCTTAACAAGCATAATTTGTTCCAGAATCTTACTCATAATGCGAAACACTTATTAAGCGAAACAAGTTTTCCCATATAAATTAACATAAAATATAATAATGCATTCCACGCCAAAAAAATATTCAAATATTTTACATATAACATTTATTCAAAGAAAATTATACAATATACATCGTTAAGGGGCATAAATCATCATCCTCTTTTCTTTTAGTATGGAATAAACCAAACTGGAATGCGAATTTGATTTGCAGAAAACAAAAAATAAAAAAAAAAAAATCACAGATAATGTCTGATAAACATGCCAAACAATATGCCAAATTCTTGGGCTATGCAAAGGCTATAATTAAATATTAGAAATTATTTAATTTTACTAAAGGTGGACAGTTATGCTGCCATCCTGTAATAAATTTAATGACCAATTCCAAATTAAATTCCAGAAATGTTTAAATTAAAAATTAATTATTTATAATTATTTTTATATGAGATGGCAGCATAACTGCCTACTTCTAGTCAAATTAATTAATTTCTAATATTTAATTATAGCTTTTACATAGCCCAAGAATTTGGCATATCTTTTGGTGTGTTTATTATATAACGAGCTATGACTGTTGATGTTTATATGTAATATGTGTGAACACAAGTTTGGAAAAATGTGTGATCACAAGCAACACTAAGATGCTAGCATAATGAGTGCTAAACACAGACTGATGGAGCATGCACACAATCCAGGACTTCCCCTCTCCTCATCACTTGTTATGTGAAACATCACTCGTTAAGCGAGTCGGGTTTTACAATTTGTTTTTGCTCATTATGAAAATCACTCGTTATATGAGGTGCTCATTAAGCGAGGTATCACTGTATCTTACTATAACTGTTTCCATGGGTAGTCTGTCTGTGATGTCATTACTTTGTTCCTGGAAACTTCTTCCATTTCTCAG